TGCGTGCAAGCGCCGTCTAATAAGCACTGGTAAAACATTAGATGACATTATTATACCCCCGCATAACGAAGTTGTAAGGGGGGTATACTGGAATCAGCTTGTCCGATCGGGCGTCTTTCCGTCCAGCCTTACGTCGGTTTTTCTTAACTTAAAATTCCTTTGACCCACAGCCTTCATATTTGGCATGGATGTTAGTCATGACTAGTAGCCTAGATGACCCCTTTTGATTTTGAAGTCACTAGGTCAAAGGTCAAGGTCACAGGGGCTTTAAGCTCAAAAGCTTGTCTGCTCAATTGTGTAACAATGCTTTGGTCAACAGTCTTCCTATTTGGCATTGAAGTTGGTTATGACTGGTAGATGACCCCTATTGATTTTTAAGTGACTAGGTCAAAGGTCAAGATTAGAAGGGCCTTGACTAAAAAAACTGGTCTACCCAATAACTTAAGGATCCTTTGACCCACAGTCTTTATATTCCCATATTGATTTTGAGGTCATTGGGTCAAAGATCACAGGAGCCTTAACTAAAAAAGGGTTGTCCAAGCAATCCCGGGTGTAAAAAGTCCATGCTTTTCCAGGGATTTCCATGGAAAATAAGAGGCTGGAGTATTGGAACAAAATTTTCCAGCCTTTTCCAGCCTGAAGCTGAGAAAAATTGGGCTGGAAAAACAGGGAAAAAACATGGAACATTTTCCATGCTGCATGGAATATTTTCCATGTTTTCCATGGAAAAGCATGGAATTTATTCCATGCTTTTCCATGTACATGGAGTATTGGAACAAAAGTATGGATTTTTTTCCAGGGTATTCCATGTGTCTGCCAACCATAGAGGCTGGACTTTTTACCATGGAAAATTGTCCAGCCTTGATGGAATAACATGGAAAAAAATCCAGCCTAATTCCAGCATCCCTGAATGTTTCTTAAAATGTAAAATTCTCTGACGGAATTCAGCACAGGAATGTTTTGGGTGGAATTTTTATTAGTTTAACATGATCACATATTTCTTTCACAAAATTTAATACATATCCTTTAGTCCAAATACAGAATAGAACATCCTACATTCACTATAGCACAAACAGTTTTTTTCCAGCTGCAGGTTTGGTAGGTTCTGGTTGTCTTATAAATCCAACACTTTGCTTTTAGCAATTATTTTGCTCTTAATTTGTCAATGAGAAAACTGCTTTAATCTTAAATTTGTTTCAAGTGTTCTGGTTATTTAAATTACTATTTTTTTATTGATGTCCATTTTTCAGTCCTCTGCCTAATGTGTTTCCTAGAACTTCTTGTGGTTGTGCTCACCTTTAAAGATAAAATTCATAATAAATTTAACACAGATGTGGTAATGACTTATGTTGTATTGCATATAAATATTAGGCAGTTATATTTCGTATCTTTTGATAACATCAAATCTAATGTTTCAACAGTATTAACTATTAAATATTAACTATGCTTATGCATATTCAAAAATACTAAAACAATGCAGTATATCTTATTTCAAAGTGCACAAGTGTTTTAAAAGAATTTCTCTGTACATGTATAAGAATTAAGTAAATTTGTGACAAAATTTATCACCCAGTATGTATTTTTTCAAGAAAAGACATGGAATAAAAAAGTATTGAGATTTAAAAATATACCTTTTCAGGATTAATACTGCACATCATTATTAAACACTGTTGGTAATTCTCACAGTCAGCACTTTATGTCCCAGCCTGCAAGTTATGTAATTGTATATTTAGATTGTTCCATTGAAAACACAACACATACATGTAAAATAACAAATGATTATGATTGACCCTGTTCAGTTGTACAAAACTATTGATTGTACCATTTAGTCCTTTTTAATCAAATTGATTTAATTTGTTTTATTTGTAGGAAATGAAAAAGATCTGTACTAACAAATGTCTTTTTAACAATATACATTATAAAAAAATCATTTATTTATATTTTACAGATTATACATATATAGATTAAAAACAATTATCAGAAAAACAAATGCATGAAGTTGAAAATATAAAATCAACCTTGATCTTTTGTTACAAATGTTGATAGTTTGATATATAACCTGTTTCTGCATTGTTGTAACTTAAGGTTTATAAATACCTGATTCTGTTGTATATCTCTTTGTCCCAGGTGATTCTGATTGTTATCATACCAATACTTAAACACTTTAAAGTCTTAAAAAACAATATCTCCAAAACTGCTAAAATATCAAGTACATCATCCTTGCTGACCCAGATATCTTAGAATTCATAATTTACAACAGTTACTGGACAGGTCTATCATTATGTAAAGCAGGGTTTAAATCTACTCATCATTTTAACTTTTATTCTTTGAGCATAAAAGAAAATATCAAATAGCTAATAGATATAGATTTTTATATATCATTACAAATTTTTGTACAAAAAAGATTGCAATGTCCTTCTAGACACATTCTGCATATGAAATTTATAATGTTATCTCTCCCCAAAATAATCACATGGAACAGCCTGATCTGTTGGAATGACCAGTGGAGTAAATTAGTCATGCCCAGATGGTGAGAAAATGCTGGTCAATGAGTTTTATCAGAGCTCTGATCTGTGTAGCGTAAAATCTCAGTGGATGTAGTATTTATTTTTCCTAAAGATTGATCAATTTAATATAGAATATATATGAGATTCTTTGTTTTGTTTATTTATTTATTTATTGTTATCCAAAAACATGAATTCTTAGAATTTGAAAATGGCAAGCAATGCAATCCCATCTTGATTATTATAGTGTCTGAATGATTTAATCACAGACTTTAATTAATTTATAGTTCAAACTTAAAGCCTGTAATTAAATGGATATTATTTCATTGTACATAACTTCATGTAGATTTATTCAAATAATAATATGTATTTTGAACAATCAATTCATTTATGTCTTTAGCATAGACATTTTTTTCTGAGATACCCTTTTTCAACTACATAAAAAGTATAAAGTGTCAAATTTCAAATCATTTACAGTAACTTGCATTAAAATAAATGATGATTGTATATTTTCTTCGTAAATTCACAATATTGTGCTGAAATATATAAAGTAAGATTTCTTGTTGTAATTTTTTACAAGTTTTTTCCAGCATACTTAGAGAAAATTTAACACATTTCCAGCATCAAAAAAAATCTAAGTTCCACTTTCCATGCTACATGGAAGTAAAGTCCATGGTTTTCCAGGCTTTTACCACAAATGTCCAGCCAATTTCCAGCCTATTCCAGCAATGCTGGAAAAGGCTGGACAAAAAAAGTCCACATAGCATGGAAAAAATACCAATTTTCCATGAATTTCCATGGAATTCCATGCTTTTCCATAGTTTTCCAGGGTTTACCAGCCTCTCTTCCAGGCTTACCCTGGAAAATCTACACCCGGGATATCTTAAGGGTCCTTTGATCCACAGTTTATTTCATATATATTTGGCATGGAGGTTGATCATGACCATTAGGTGACCCCTATTGATTTTGAGGTTGCTGGGTCAAAGGTCAAGGTCACAGAGGCCTATAGTTCAAAAAGCTTGTCCGCTCAATTGCTTAAGAATGCTTTGGTCAACAGTCTTCATATATGGTATTGTGGTTGGTTTTGACTAGTAGATGACCCTATTGATTTTTAGGTGACTGTGTCAAGGCCTAGGTCACAGGGGCTTTTACTACAATGAGCTTGTCTGCTCAAATGCTTAAGAATGCCTGTCTAAAGTGTTATTGTATTTGACATTTTTACATTTGAAGCATAGAATTATGTGCTCATATATTCATCATAAACACCCCCAGACAGAGCTGCATGAATGAAGGATAATTCAAGTCATGCAGTGGTAGTTTCAGTTTTGAGGTCAAAGGTAAAGGTCACTTTGATCTTTGCCACAAAAAACATGTTGAATACATAATTTAGCGATGCACTGGCTTACTACCCTCAAATTTGGCAGGGAGTTTGTCCTTGAGCTCCCAATGACCACTGTTGATTCTGACAAAGTGGTATGCAGGGGTATTCACACCATGACAGTTCAGTTAAAATATGGGATGATTTTATTTTAGATAAAATATTTGAATAGTATTCTGTCAGGTAAAATATTGGATGACATTTTCAGGTAAAATGTTGGATTATACCAACAATTCAGTCCATTATTGACAACCATGCTAGTTTCTTTATCACATCCAACAACAATTGGACATGATTTAAATCTAAACAGACTTTGCCCTTGGCAGTTATATTCCATCTAGGCTGTTTAGTAAAAAAAAGAAAATACTTGCCTTAAAGATTAGAAATTGCATAATTCCAGCATTTCAGGTCTTGCTTGGTATTAAGTTTTTATTTTTTTATTAAATTTTTGAAGTAAAAAATGGTAATGGATGCCAACCATACAATATTCAGCTTGGTAAGAGATTGCACAACCAAACAGTATTAAGCCTGACTTTGTATATATGTATAATAAAATCTTAGTCTGCTGGTGACAATTAATGATACCCATACAATCAATGCAAACCAGGTAATCAGTTAGCTAATCTGTGAAATTTGATCATGGTATGCGATGTTTTTATTATTTAGTTAGTTTATATTTTGAAATTTGCCTGAAATGATGAACCATGGTTTTTCCATATTTGAAAGGTAGACAAGTGCATTTAAGACATTAATTTTAGTGAGGTAAGGGTAAAAAATGGCATGTCCTGTAGAAAATTTTGTAAGAACGGAAATAAAAATGTTATAAATTTGTCATTGATGTATGAATAAATTCTGTACTGGTTAAAATTATGTATCATTGACAAGATAGCTGTACATTTGAATTTAACGAGACCCTTAAGGGTAAAATCATGTAATATGGTTAACACCAATGCAGAGTTACCTATCACATTAACAATAAAAATGTTGTACATTAACGGTCTGTCAAATGTAGCGTAAGATTAAAGATGTAATAAATCGTAATAAGTTGAAAAATAGCGGAAAAAATGTTTGTTTTCTTTGTCTGGTATATTTGCTGATATGGACATTTGATAACACAAAATGTAGGGGACCGAAAAATATTTGTGTTTTAATTATTAAATGTTTAAAGCAAAGACCGAATGTTTAATGGAAAGGTCGAAAGTGATTTTGATGTACCATCGTTGATTTATGTAAGAAAAAAATGTCAGTCGAGGCACTGTGTTGTGAAGGATCTTTTTTTATGTAGCTTGTTGCCCGCCAAGATACGATGATTGATGTGCTGTATAATGATGATATGTAACAACAAAATGTAACAATTGTTACGTTGTGTTATTATACATAAATGTTCCCTGAGGACTTATGTAAGAGTCTGGACACTTCATTTAAACGTGTATACATGTAGTTTTCATTAACAAATTGATTAATGAGGATGAAATAAGAGTGTATGATTGACTTATATGGAATACATGTTTATAACTTGAAAGAAATTTAAAAGCTTTGATTGGATTATTGAGTGCATTGTAGTGGCTTGTGGGATTTTTGTTTCCTTAATTAAGAAGGAAGATTTTTTGTACATCTTTAATATCATCAAAATATTGATGACACTGATACAATAAATGAAAGAAGTGAAGTTACTGAGTTAAGAAACATTTTTACAATTCGATCAGTATTAAATTTTGTTGTGAGAAAAATAAGTTAAAGTGGAATAAAATTAATTTATGAGGCTATTTGTATATGATAGTGTCAAAGCTATGTGAAATCCTAACTATTGTTCAGTTGTACAAATTACTTAGTATAGTACAACTACACTAAGGATGTATATATGCATGACTTAATGAAGGTCGTTCAAGGTTATTTTGAAATCTTGTGAAACATTTAAATGTATTCTCCCAGTGTATTATGATATTAGTAGCTGATTCTGACAAGTAGCTGATAAAACAAACTCTCAAAATAGTAAACCAAAACAGTCAATTTATAAGCCAAAAGTTAGCTGACTAAAGGCTGACAATAGGCTGACAATAAGCTGACAATAGGCTGACAATAAGCTGACAATAAGCTGACAATAAGCTGACAATAGGCTGACAATAAGCTGACAATAGGCTGACTAAAAGTTGATAATAAGCTGACACAAGGCTGATAATAGGCTGACAATCAGCTGATTAAAAGCTGATAATAAGCTGACAATTGTAAAACAAAAACCTGACAGAAAGCTAAATCTTATAAAATTATCCCGATGCATGACGCAGAAACAGAAAGTTTATGTAGTAAACTCTCAATTGATGATGACGGCTACTGGTAAGTTGGTTTTTTTTTAACAATTCTAACCTCAGGCCCAGGCGAAATTCATGGTCATTTAACCATGAACTACCATGAACTACAATGGTATTTCATGGTCCTGTAACCATAAACTACCATAGTAGACCATGTTTTGTTAAATGGCACCACAGCTTTTCATGGTCACCTAACCATGGTTGCTAACACCATGGTCTACCATTAAATAACATGGTAGATCATGTCTACTGACACCATGTTCTACCATGTTAATTTTTTCCCCTTGGTGAAATGTATCATGTTTTATCATGAAATAACATGAACTAACATGGCTCACATGCAGATCATGGTTAGCCATGGTTGACCATGTTATGTTACACGACCCTGTGTAAGACGACTTTCGTACATTACTTATGATGTAGACTAACATAATAATAGTATATAGGACTATGTATATCTTGACTGAATTTGTTTCCTTTGTTATCACTTTTATTTGCCAGCCTGCATATAAAACAAACAGTGCTTGCCATTTATCTTTCTAAAATGTTCCCGCCTTTTTCCACATGTATATTTTCCTTGTGTTTACATCTTTATCAGTGTTTATTCCATAATGTTTGTTAAATCCATTTGTGAAATATTAAAACTGGGTGTTGGGAAACATGTTAGCAAAGTCTGAGTGAGTAATTCCATTGTTTAAACACTTTAAAACATATATATTATGCTGTTGACAAACACACATGGATTTGGATGCCATGTTGGACTGCAATGCATTGTGGTAAGGTTTACCTCCGCTTTGAAGAGTATTCAGATTATAAGGCTAGAACTACTGTTAGATACAATGAAACTTAGGGCCATGGGTTCAAACCCCAGAAGGGTCAACATTTTTTCTTCTTTTTTTTTTCTTTTAACATTATTTATGTAACTTTCATATCCCTTTTGGGAAGAAAAACAAGTGTTTCATATTTTTTTATTTAATTTATATAAGTATTTATTGGCATAAAAATTATGTTGATAGTACACCATGGTCATTCATGGTCATTTTACCATGGTCTGTAATTTTGTTACATGGTAGACCATGGTTTTTCATGATAGCTTACTGATATGCAGAATGACCATGTTATTACATGGTCATACCATGATGTGACCATGGCATTTGATGGTTTTTCACTGACGACCAAGAAATAACATGTTCAGATATCAAAAACCATGAAATACTATGTTGACCATGGTACACATTTCACCTGGGCGGGATATGCTGAATTAACTTTCTTTAAATACCAGTAACAATTAATTTGTAGTTTGAAATATTTCACTGTTACATAATTTAGTTGGTTAGCCGGTTTAGCTTATAAGAAAGAGCACCAATCTGATTAGTAAATCACTGGTTGAATACAAGGAACGATTGATTTGTAGTTTGAACTATTTCACTGTTACAAAATTTGGTTGGTTAGCTGTCTTAGCTTAATAGGAAGAGTTATTCTGATCAGTAAATCAGGGGTCCCTCAGATTCGATCCTGCGATGAGGCGTTGTTTTCTCTTTGTCAATCTACATCATTGAATCTAATGATCATGTGTCTTACTGCTGATGTGTGAGATTACCGGTTGGTCACTTACAGAGAGAATTGGTAATTATTGGTTAGTTATCCAGGTAAGCTGGTCTGGCAAATAATGACCAAAATCATGTGTTTAAAAAGTTGGTGTAAAAAAAACCCAGGAAAACAAACAAACAAAAGTAATGGATACTTAATTGTCCTGCTTGAAATGGACCAGTTCATTATTAGTTTAAAGGAGTGCAATATTTAATCATATACTATGATATAGTGTGGTTTCTTAATAATTTAGCAAGTTTGCATCCTTAATATGGAAATTTGCATATATATTTATTCATCACTTTGGGCAATATTACATGCATACATGAATAAAGGCCAAGATGTTACAAATTATTATATGTACAGTTGTAACAGATTTTATATGCACTAGTAAAATACATGATAAACTTTTTGTTTTTTCTGTGTGTTTGGAGGGCATTACAGATATTTGATAACAAGATCAAATGGCGAAATTTTTTTTTATATTGTTGATTTATATCTGTTTTTGGTTTGAGGCTTCCTTTGATGGAAAAAATGAGATTTTTAGTGTTTTATGTTAATTATAGTGATTTATGGTAAACAAGATGTTGGTGATTTATGGTTGATTTATGGTATATACATTTTAGTGATTTATGGTATTCATGATCTTTAAGTGATTTACGTAAATTATCAATCCTAGTGATTGATGGTAAATAACGTTTTAGCAATATTTGTTTATTTATATCACATTCTAATGTATTTTAATAGGTTGGATAGATCTGTAGATAATCCTACCGGTATATATGTTGGATATTGTATACACTTCCATTTTATAAATTTTATAGAACCAGCCAACTTGCTTCTTGAACATTATAAGCGTAAGTCACAAAATCGCTGGGCTTTAAATTTTTGTAATCTACTTAACAATACCGTATGACATTTTAAGCATTTGTTTATAAATATTGAGGACAAAATATAAGGAACAATTATGGCTATGCAAGATTAACCACATAAGAGTATTAGATTAAATAATTCAGTTATATTGAGAGGCTAACTTATAGCCTTTCAGATCAGTTTCTGTCTGTAATGGACTTAAATGGTCACAATCTCCTTAGAGGATTTATTATGTCCACCTGACCAGATTTATATGTAATTGTTGATATGTCTTGTTAGAGCAGAAACTTGAAAAGGTAATGATGACATATTTAAACAAGATGTTAAACAGAATTCAGCAAATGTGGGTTTTCCCCCATCTTTTTAAAGTTACAAAGAAGCTTGTATTGTAAAAACTTTGTGGTGTACTATCTGTTCACAACATACTGATCAATACATTGTAAAAATTTGAATGTACCCCAGGATAAGATGGCAAAATCCCACATCTTACATATATAGTTCTTAAGTATTTGACTTGTGGCATTCATTTGCCAGTACAGATGTTAGAATAAATGAATTCTTTAAAATATAAGAAACATCACTCTCACCAACAATGGGAAAATAATTGTAAAAATACATATTAAGTGGGAATTAATTGTAAGAATTTCTTATTAAAGACAAATAAATTGAATGACTTTTTCTTCTTTTTTTTCATGTTTGGTATTGCGTGCTGTAAAACATAAGTGTGCAAGTAATAAAATTATAGTTAAAAAATATTTTTCTTTTTATGGACCATTATTAATTACTCAAAATCAAAATCATAGGCAGTAAATATAAGGTAGATTATCTGAAGAATTTATTTTACAAGCTTTAATATTTGCAGTTTCAATTTACAGTCTATATACAGCTGTTCTCAATTTTACAAACAAACAAAAACTTACTATTTATAGACTTCTCTTCATGTACCAGTAATAAAATAATAAAGAAACTGTATTAAAATTCATTTTCTTGTATGGATTTGTGCAATAAATATTTGCCAAAAACCAACTTTGATAAAAACAGCTGCTTTAGAATAACAATACTGCAAAACCTGTAATTTAGGGGACATTCTTTAAATGATCACCTTGTATTAAGATGTATTGCAATTTTTCAATACAGCTAAACTTGTGGTATTAAGGTCACTTATTTTAGATTACCTTGTCTTAAAGGACATTTTCTTTAATCCATCACAGTATTGCAAAATCTTCTTATATCTACCACCAATTTCAAGACATTCTTGATTTCAAGGTCATTTTTTTATCACTACTGCGAGCATATGTTGGAGAGATACTACAAAATTGCCTTAAAGGGCATGTTCTTTATTACATTATACTGCAAAACCTGTGTTTAAGGAGACTTTCTTATGAAGACCACCTTGTCTTAAAGGGCATTTTCAATTCTTGCAAAACCACATAATTAAGGCAACCTTTCCTGACAAAGCAGAAAAATAATTATTAATAATGATAATATTTTGTATATTTTTCAGCTCTGCTCCTGTGAAATACTTTGAGCATGACACAATCAGAGGGAAACTCAGGAGGATTTTGATCCGGAACTCTACAGCAAGTGAGTGCTTCCTATGTTAACCCTTAAAAGCGCTATAGGACCAGAGATGTAAAAAGCATCAAATTCATACATAGCTAAACAGGGGCTCTCCTAAAATAAAATTGAAAAATATGCAAAAGTTAACAAGAAATGTACTCTGAAATAAATTGAAAATCAGTTGAGGTTCTCTTTTAGGTGTGTATGTGTGTTTTTTGTGTCAGGTTCGAGTTGAAAGCATTGATAATCTGAAAATTTGGGTCATTGCACACAACATAATGGTCCAGATCTACATGTTCTAAAAACACATACAAAAAACTCAAGCTCTGTTGTGTAGAACCCCTTTACCTGCTGTATTTGTGTGTTAATTTCTATTAATTTTGAATTATGACACTAAATGTGTACAGAAGTTGATATTGTGCATATTAATATTTCTAGAGCACTATTTATACCCACCAAGGGGTTACCAATAATTTGTCATTCTTTATATGGCTGGCCTACATCTTTAAATAGGATGACCTGACAGTCATTATTTGGACATATATATAAATATAAATAACTGAGACCTACCTCCCACATCATTTGACCTTAAATTAGTAGTTATATATCTAAATATGACCATTTACTTAGCTCTGTGGGTGGTAAATGTGTTATTTTTATGATTATTAATTAATATTAAGATACATGTATATGTCTTTACTAACACCTGCAGCTATCCTTTCTATGATAAATTTCTATTAATTAACATACAGCTCTGATTTGACTGTGGAGCTGCTGCTGTTTATGTATGATATAATGTTAATATAAAGTGGATATGATGAGGCGTTCGTGGGGAGTTTTTTAAGGTCGTGGAGATCAAATCACTTGCCCCTCATCTCATTGAACATTGTGGGTTGGATGATTCCCACCAGGGACTTTAGATTTCTTCATGTTAGGAACATAATCCAGCTAGCTTACTGAACATTGGTGGTTTTACTCTGGAACCCGTTTGTGTCTGAGATAATGCAATTGCATGGAGACCTGAGGTCTTCTTCCACAATTAAAGCTAGTAAAGCTGGAAAATAATTATGGCCTTTACAGTGTTGGTGTGACGTAAAAAAACCCAACATAAAAATAAATAAAAAAAACAACACCAAATATATATGAGCCTAGTCTGGTCAGGGACTGTAATGGAAGTCAAGGCTGATCTAGCTCTGTTGTGGTGGTACATATATTGTCGCACAGAGCTTTGACAGTCTGACATCAGACCATGGATGCAAGTTCTTGGGATCCAGACAGTTTCAAAAGGATCAGAATTATAAAATTAATGTTCAGATCATCATAGTTTTCTTGAAAATACCTTTATAATCAAAATTTTTTGAGATCATTGTATTTTTCCTTTCAACAAAATTGCATTTATCAATGATGAACATAAGCTGATGTTAAAGTTAGCTGCAGACCCAGGAATGACCTTGACTTTTATGGTCAAATTGTGTAAATTTTATCAAATTTAACAGTAACTTTGCAGTTCATTAATAGATTTTGAAAGAAAAACATTTGACTTCTTGATTGTGTATTTCAGGGTTAACATTTACTGTGTTTGACTTGATTGCGAAGTTTTTGGTGTGTTTACTGTACATGGTTAGAATTGTCCTTGATGATGTTAAACAATACGAGTGGTAAGTACTAGTATTTGCAAGTAGTCTTTATCAAAATTTTAATCATTGTGTCCAAGCTTAGCTCAATTAAGGGATAGCATAGGATTTGAAATCCAGAGGTTTTAGTTGGTCCTCAAATTTTGTGAGGTAAAATTAATCTGTCACTATTGATACAGGACTTTAAGTCTAATGGTCATTAGTAGTAGTTGTTCATTCGCAAAAAAAATTAATTAATTAATTAGTCGCTTATAAGTGGACCGACTTTATATAAAAAGATTTTATCACTTTGTGATCTGTATCTAAGTTTTTACCACTTTATAATCTGTATCAAAGTTTTATCATTTTATAGTCTATATCAAAGTTGAGCCATTTAGATTCTCACATGGTTCTTGTTCCGAGAAAATTTGAGCGTACTGTGTCTTTTTTGTCAACTCTTGTTCTTTATTACTATAATAAAGTATGAAATAGATACATATAATAAAACATTGTGTGTTATCAAGTATCTATATAACAATATAGTCTCTCATACTTGTCAAAGAGAAGTAGCCGGTTATATATTTCTATTCTTTCAAATTTATGGCCCATAAAATATCATAATATTAAATTTAAGTGAAGGACAGAGATTTAAAGGAACCTTTCTCAGTATTTGGATAACTAGTTGTAAGAATAAATGACATATTGAAGTCTCAAACTGCTGAACCTTTAATCTGCTAGAACCGATTGTGATTTAAACCTTTGCTGCTGTTGCCAGTTTCTATATAATCATGTTGGCTGACTCAACTTTAAATGTTCATCTTGATATCTCCAATATTTATAATGACAGCCACAAAAATATGGAAGTTAAACACATTCTATCTTAGAAATTCAGATAGCAGATTAAAGGTTAAGATTTAAGACTTACATTAACATTTTTATCACATACCCATGCCGACTTTGCGACTGCTTAAAAAATGGTACTGCAAGGCTGTGCGTATATTTTGACGTGACGTCATTTGCATTATATAAACATAGCATTAAAATGTGCTAAATATTAGCGTTATTTACTATAGACGCGTCAATGAAAAATGTCTCTTTATCACTTCAAACAGTCTTTACTTTTGATACGTGAATATACAAATATTAAATTTGTGTTAGTTCATTACTAAATTTATTAAACTGGTTGAATAAAATGATATTATGCTGGCCAGAGGCTCGCATAATATTTTATTCAACTTGTTCAATAAATTCAGTATTAAACTTACTCTCATTCACACAACTTGTACAAGAAACAAACTTAAAAAAGTATTCTTCTCAGCATTTTCTTCCTTCAATGCATAGAGCTTATATATGTAAGATGTACTATTAAGTAAGATGTACTATTAATGTGTGATTCTCTACAATAGCTATATGTAATACATTTAACACTTGGGGTGTTCATTGCCAAGTGGTTACGGTCATTGGCATTTAACCACTTGCTCCTCAAAACCACTGTGATTTTTAATCCCACCAGGGACTTAAAATTCTACCAAGTGAATCTAGCTTTTTGCTGATGGTTCTACTCAAAATTTCGCAAGTTTAATCATATTTTGCACTCACAAGCAACACATTTTTGAAATAATATATAGCAAAAGGTTTGGGTCAACATAAGGGATTGAACCTTCCCCAGCTGCCCATTTTTGCCTGAAGTAAAACATGGAGAGGCACCTGATATTTTTCCTCCAACAGTTAAGCTTGAATGCCGCCATATGACCTTTACAGTGTTATTCTGACTGAAAAAAAAAATAAATAAAAAAAATAATAAAAAAAAAACAAACAAAAATAATTCTACTACAGGAAATAAATATTGGTAATATTGAATTGAAAACAAGTGACTTGATGTAACAGCTATAATCTTTTTGTAATATGATAAAAGGAAATAAATTATGGTAATATTGAATTGTAGACATGTGACTTGATGTAACAAATAACAGCTATGATATGTTTGATCTAATGCTCTTGATTGATCTTGATTACCGTATTTAAACAAAATTATCAAATTTATCATTTTAGAAGCAATATGAAGATGGTCTTCTTGGTTTGTCTATTTCAGCAATGGGAGTCCATGTCCACCAAAACCAGAGAACTTCACAGCTACAACCAGTGATGTTAATTGGTTTGTAAATTTGTTCATTAAGCCTTTACTTGATGAATTTGAGTACTGAGCTTGTCCTGCTTTGAATTTGGAATATTTCATTAGTAGCTAACCGTTATTATGCCAAATATAACGAATACACTTGTCCGTCATTATACCCTCACAAACGAAGTATAGGGGGGTATCTATAAGTCAGCTTGTCGGTCGGTCGGTTGGTCCACATAATGGTTACCGGATTATAACTAGAGTTTGGAATGAGGTATTGTAATCAAACTTGGTGAAATGTAACCTTATTTGGAAACCCAGGTCAGTATTGCATTTGGACCCCCTGGAGTCAAGGTCAAGGTCAGCAATACTAAAAATAGAAAAATGGTTTCTGGACAAGAACTAGACTTAGGAATGAGATATTGTAATCAAACTTGATGTATACATGTAGGAAGCTTATATGAAGTCCCTGGTTTGCATTGCAATTAATTCAAATAATTCTTTGCACACAGTTGATATTTAATTTATTATAGGTTGATTGTACATCTGTAAAATCTGACAAGGCTCTATAATGTTTGTAGACCAACTTAAAAATAATAATGGTCTGTTCAAGTATGGAAGCCCAGGACAAGTCAGTTTAAGGAATTTGTTATATGGTTTAGTTTCAAAATTATAACAAAACCTACTGTTACAATGAAAAGTAGATATAAACCATCAGATATGATTAATTGAAAGTCAGTTCATGACAGAATTAATTGGACATTAAAATACATGTAAGCCTATTTCAATATAGTGCTGAATTAATAAGACACTTTAAGTTTGAAATATGCAGATTTCAGTAGATTTGATTGAAGAACATGTCAATTATGTTTCGCTGAGTCAGCAAGTTTTGATTGACTACAAATCTTGTATATCTTTATGACCAATTAGATAGACTATTATCTTAAAGTTCAAAATGGGATTACCTTTAGCAATATTGGGAGGGGGGGGGGGGGGGGGTCATAAGTTAATTTTCTGTTAGGGTTATTGTATTAAGGCTATTAGATGACTGGGATAGGATTTGCATAAAGATAATATATAATTTACTGCCGGCACTTTTATTTGTTTTAGTATAAGAATATATGGGAATGTTAGCCTGGGTTTTGCTAATGAATAAGTAATGGATTTGACCTACTGTCCATTATCTATTTTGTTTGTGTGTGTGTGTGGTGGCAGTGGATTTCAATATTAAAATGATAAGATTTAGTAGCAAATAACTAAATTATTGTTTCTGGTTTGATGGCACACAAGTTGCACACAGTGCATTTAATCACATGGCCACCAGTAACAAACTGCAGAATTATTTTCTTCCATATATTTAGCAATTTAGATGCTTAAATTCCCTTTTTTTATCAATTTAAATCTCTGGAATTGAGGGCATTCTGTTATTTTTTCTTTGTAAATATAGTTCAGGTAAGAGTGTCGAGTACCGTAACTGTCTTATGCTGATTTTCTTTTTTGTACATGTAGCAAAAAATTATTTTTTTAATTAATTTTAATGGTTGTCTCCCTTGCTCCTTGCATTCTGTATCAATGCCAAAATGCATGTGTGTTGTGAAAATAATAAGCTTATTGTAGCTGTGTAGAATTGTTGAATTTGAATTATTTTCAGGTGGTTTAGTTTGAATTAGTTAAATGTTGACATGTGTGTTTTGGTAATGTTGAAAGTGTAGGGATTTTAAAATGCTTTTGACTGAAATTTAAATGTCAATTTGATAAACAAATAGGGAAAGTTAAATATTTATATTTAGAAAACAAATCTTATCTCTTAGCTTAAATTTTTGCCATGTTGAACTTCTTTGACCAGCGCTTGACCTTTTGCCAGTTATGCCGCTGTTTACATGTAACTTGTCCAAAATAGGAGATGTGTATGTCATATGGTGATATGGACTGTCGTAGGGACTTTTAGACAAGCCTGATGTATGTTCCTATCTTAAAGTCATATACACATACTAAGGTTGCATATAGACATAGCAGATTGAAAACTGTGTAACAGAATATATTTAACCTTTTTATTATCTTAACCATATTACAATAACAGAAACATTTATGTAATATAATAATAAAAAAAATCAGGGTCAACAACCCCATCTTTGAGTTATCTGTCCATCCATGATTTTGAAAATTGCTACATGTCTGTATGCAATCCAAGCAGACACCTTTATGATAAAGCTTTGGGAAAAAATATACATGATCTTTGAGATAACAGAAATATTTTAAGACCCCCCCCCCCCCCAAAAAAAAAAAAAAAAAAAAAAACTCGTAGAAGTTCTACTGTATTACATGTGTTATCTGAGTTTAGTGTTAGTTTAAGTATGATGCACATATGAGTTCATGTAACTCTTGGTATATGTAGATCTCAATATGAGCTGCACCCTGACAAAAGCAGCATCCGCGCAGTCTGATCAGGATCGATGGTATTCGCTATCAGTTTCTCTACTTGTTATAGGGTTGGTAAGCAAACAGCATGGATTCTGAAAAGACTGCGCGGATGTGCAGGCTGGTCCGAATCCATGCTGGTCACAAATCCACTATGTTGGTTTTGTCATGGCGCAGCTCAAAAATTCTAGTGTATGAAGATCTCAATATATGTAGATCTTTGTTTATGTAGATCTTTTATGTGATGGTTTAAAAAAATCGTTTTGATTGAGTGTTTGTTATCATTTTGTTTTCAAAGTATAAACCATGGTTTATTTTATAGTTGCATGAAATAGTATATTTCACTGTTGTTTTATTTTTGCATGTAACACATGTTACATTTTGTGTTGTTTTTATTTAGGCATGTTATATTATGGGTGCATAGACCTCTTCCCCTATGGATAGCCCAGGTTACTCTTGCTGTGATAACATTTGTGAAAACTTTACTCAAAGTTTATGTTGCCAAGGTGAGATTTTTACATTATGTCCAGTTCATTATTTTGGTATATAAGTTTTTGCAGCACTGTTGCATGATGCAGATAGGGGTGTTCATTACTGAGTGGCTTTGAACCACTTGCCCCGCACTGTAGCCTGGGATTCAGGCGTTGATATTTTTTGCTTATTTATAACATACGCGCTATTTCATACTCGATCGTCATAGATAACGCACAACATCTCTGGTTTTGATAGTATCAACGCCTGGGGAAACCTGTGGGGTTTCCAATGTAATTATCGACTAATGATAATCCTATTAATAGGCCGATTAGCATGTGACCAACAAATTACATGACTAAATCGAAATCAAGGCGAAGATGATGAATGTTGAAAATTTGACGCCATTTACTATTATAAATTGCGTCCAGCACAATTCTCTGATGCTCACACACTTTATCCAATTTAACTAATCAAACCTGTTGATCGAATTAACTCATCATGCAATAAACTTTGTCAACAAGTGTTATTTTAATCGGAAATGGTGTTTTGAAAGCGAGGCTCCGTAACTGTTCGTTGAGCTTCGTGTCACTTCGTGGAAATTCCGTTTCTATTTTTAGCAACTAGTTTGTTGTTGCATGAGTTATCGTTCTTTAAATAACACCCGTAATTTTCGGGGTGTATACTAGGTGGCGCTTCGATCGAAAATCGTATTTCCCCAGGCTGTCGATTTGCCGAACAGAAGCACATAAAAAATCGACAGTCTGGAACCCAGGCTACCCGCACTGCTGTGGAATCCTTATCCTGCCTGTGACTTTAGATTCTCTCATGTGAGGAAGCTATCAAGCAAGCTCAAGGAATGTTGCTGGTTTGACTGAGTTGCCTGCTTGTGCCTGAAATGTTGCGCAGAGAGGCATCTTAATTTGTCTGTCACCACTAAAGCTGATATGATTCCAAGAAGACCAACCACACGCGTACATTCAATTATTATACCCCCACACACAAAGTTAAGGGGGTGTATATAGGAGTCAGCTTGTTAGTCGGTCGGTCCGTCGGTCGGTCCACATCATGGTTTCTGGACGATAACTAGAGTTTGGAATGAGGTATTGTGATAAAACTTGGTATATAGCAACCTTATGTGGAAACTCCGGTTGGTATTGCATTTGGACCCCCTGGGGTCAAGGTCAAGGTCACCTTTACTAAAAATAGAAAAATGGTTTCCGGACAATAACTAGAGTTAGGAATGAGATATTGTTATCAAACTTGGCGTATAGCAAGCTTATATGAAGACCTGTGTTGGTATTGCATTTGGGCCCTCTGGGGTCAAGGTCACCATTACTAAAAATAGAAAAATGGTTTCCGGACAATAACTTGACTTAGGAATGAGATACTGTAATCAAACTTGGTGTATAGCAAGCTTATATGAGGACCTGGGTTGGTATTGCATTTGGACCCCCTGGGGTCAAGGTCACCGTTACTAAAAATAGAAAAATGGTTTCCGGACAATAACTAGAGTTAGGAATGAGATACTGTAATCTAATTTGGTGTAAAGGAAGCTTATATGAAGACCTGGGTTGGTATTGCATTTGGACCCCCTAGGGTCAAGGTCACTGTTACAGTGTTACTAAAAATAGAAAAATGGTTTCCGGACAATAACTAGAGTTAGGAATGAGATATTGTTATCAAACTTGGTGTATAGCAAGCTTATATGAAGACTTTGGTTGGTATTGCATTTGGGCCCCCTGGGGTGAAGGTCAAGGTCACCGTTAGAAAAATAGAAAAATGGTTTTCGGACAATAACTAGAGTTAGGAATGAGATATTGTAATCTTATTTGGTGTATAGGAAGCTTATATGAAGACCTGGGTTGGTATTGCATTTGGACCCTCTAGGGTCAAGGTCACCGTTACAGTGTTACTAAAAATAGAAAAATGGTTTCCGGACAATAACTAGAGTTAGGAATGAGATATTGTAATCAAACTTGGTGTATAGCAAGCTTATTTCGAGACCCCAGTTGCGATTACAATTAATTGAAATATTTCTTTGTACACAGTTGATAGTTTGTGTTCAAATTTTTCTTCAGACTACTTTTTTTTCAAAAAGTCAAAGTTGCTGGTGGGGGTATTAATCACCTTCAGTGATAGGTCTAGTTTTTTTATTCATATCGATTTTGAACTAGTATGTTCTTCGTCAGTGAATAAACAGGAAGTGAATAAACAGGAAGAGACGTCACACGACGTCAACGTCCAAGATGGCGGGAAATATACATTGTTATGTTAAGTTATATTAAAATCCATTAAAAAAATTAATAAAGATTTTGATATATATATTTTTATATATAAACATTCACGGATGTGAATATATATATAAACTAAAGCTGGGAAGTCATCATATAACCATTAGAAAGTACCAGTGTGATTTAAAACCCATCCAGAAAAATTTAATGCAAACAATTCACCCCTAATCTACTGAATTTATGCAATGGATTCATCCTGTTTTTGAACAGGGAATAGCCCATTTCAAAATTCAGGGGATTTCAATATAAAAAAAAGTCCCAAACTGGGCCTCCAACAGTATAAATCCTGCACATACTGCTCAAATGTGCAGACTGGCATTACTTGATACTGATGACAAAGCCCTAATCACTTTTATTTCCACCAGATTAACCTTTATCCCTTAAAGTATATACTGTATTTGGAGGGCAGGTAATAATGTTGCAATACCATTCTGTGTATAGTGTAGAAAAAAATATAGTTGTCTATGTTTGCAATTCTTTGTGCAATAAAATATTATGTTAGCAGTTTTAACAAAAACCCAAATTATTTGAATGGGAAAACTTGCACTGGTATTTTAAATCATGAAAATTTTTTTGATTTGCCATATTTCTCTTTGTGTTTTTGCAAGTTATAAATTGTATATTATTAATTATTTTCAGGGCAACCGATGGGAGCATTTTTTACAAGGGCATTTTATTTTAGAAGTGTTCAGCTCCTTGCCATTTATTGTAACTGTAAGTTTCCTTGATTTTGTCTTGTTTTAATTATACACCTTATTTTAGCACACTTCTGATGCTTTAAGCTACTTTAACCGCTTGCAGGTTTGCCTCACACAACTTACCAGTACTAGTGACATATTAGGAAACATGGTTTGTCTTGAGTCTTTTTTGTGGAATGGTAAACATTGCTTACTTAAAATTACTTCCTTTACTTTGTTGTGGTTTCAAATTTTGAATGGGGCATTGAATCTTTTTGTTAATATCTGGCTCTGTGGTGATTCTTCACTTGTTTGGGGAGAAAATGTGTGTCAAGATAGTTGAGCCAAGGTACAGTATTCCAAAGGTCATGAGTTTGAGTTCTGGTCAGACTGAACATTTTTCTCACCCATTAACACAGCTACCTTGTGGAAGCACATTTTATGTATGTTACAATGATCTAAAATGACTTGCCACTCATAGCTGTGGGTTTGAATCCTGCCAGGGAATTTTGATTTTTTCATGTGAGTAGCTATCCATTCAGCTTATCTAAGATTGATGTTTTTACACAAGTGCCCTCACGTGCCCGAACTTGAAGTTAAGATAGAAAATTATAACATGACCTTGACAGTATGGAAGGGACAACAAAAATAAAACAACATGTTTATGTTACAAAAATGATTATTTTCATGTACTGTATTTTCAATGTTTACATGTATAAATAGATTATCATGTTTTTGTTACAGTATTTTCATGTAGTTTATAAATACATTATCATGTTTTTGTTACAGCTTGCCTACCCACCGTTGCTAAGAAACATGTTTGTCCCATCATTCCTCAGTTGCTGGCTGGCAAAGAAAGCTCTCGACAGATTACTTGTATGTATAATAATTGTTTAAAAAAACAACAACAAGAAACATGAACAAACAAACATAATACTGAACTACATGCATAATCACCTCTTTTCATTTCATAACTTATTGCTGCAAAATCATTTATAGTCATTGGGCGCACCAATTTTCATGGTTTTCACTGATAGGTCAGTCTTTCATTTCATCAGATGAAATTCTGTTGTTAGATTTATTTGCATTACACTATTTGCATTTAAATCTTGCAGATTAGTTATTTCACGAATATATGAATGTCTTTTATGATAAAACCTTAAAATGTTATACCTACAGAATGAAATGAATTCACTGTACCCCAGTTGATGACCAGTCAGTATCTAATTTTTCCAAACCATTCCTTTGTAATGACTAACTTTGAAAAGAAAGTTTTTCATGCCCAGCTTGGTAGTGATTTTCCCATTGTTGTTCTGTTCTGATGCTTTCCATAAGTAGACTTACAAAATCAGGAATATGGGGACTTATTTCTAATCTGTGGGATTTATTTTGGCCACTTACTTTGATTGTCTTTCTCTCTGAAAATATCGCCACCCCAATGTTAGAATTTAATGCCACTTAATTCTGTATAATTTTTTTGGATATTTCTGTATATTTTGATTATTCAAATACCCATTCATTCTATATTTGGAAAAAATATTCTATATATTTCAGAATGACTTACACAGAACGCGGCAACGGTTCCAGACCATATCAGTGACCTTGACACAACAGAGTTTAGTTCTCATGGCAACCATGCTTTGCCTGATTTTTACCACGTATGTTCTATTTTAATGTTCCAAATTTTTAAAATTTCTATGCTGTTTAACAATGGATATATTACAATTTTTTTGACAAAACAGGTCTGTCTTTCTGTTACAGTTTTAAATCTATTAAATAGATATAATGAGGTACAACACGTCAAACACTGAATCAGTTTTATTATTTTTATGCCACCACAGCATGTTATTTAAAAATGAGATAAATGTTATCAAGACAACATCTTTTAATTGTCTAATTAATTATTGTACTAACCGTAAACTTGCCAAAGTGATTAGCTTTCACCAAATAATAGAGGCAGGCCAGCTTGGATATCCCTGCTTGCTGAACAGACCCTATACTGTTGGTAGGTCAGTTTTCAGAACTTTCCCACATATAAACAGAAGATCAAGTTTAAATTTATTTGTATTATCTCTATAATTTCAGTATATGCGGTGTTCAACATATACAGCGGGCCAGTTCAGAATTACATCTGAACTTGTTTGATGCTATCTACTTTGTTATTGTAACATTCTCCACCGTTGGTTACGGTGATATTTCACCAGATATATGGCCGAGTCGGGTGTTCATGATACTCATGATATGTATAGCGTTTGCCGCTATTCCCATGCAGGTAAACGTCTTCATAATTCCTTGATAGCAAGACCGAAGAACATTCATGGTATTACAGAATGAAAATAGTTCAAAGTATATGTATTAACCAGATCACTTTAAGATTTGTTAGCTAGTGATAAAGGTGTGTCCGTGGTCAGTTGGTTAAGGTTCTTGAATTTAAACCACATGGCACTCACAACTGTAAGTTCGATTCCCGCCAAGGACATTCGATTTTTTCATGTGAGGAAGCTATCCAGTTAGCTTATGGAAAGTCTTTTGTGCTACTTAAGCTTGCTTGTGCCTGAAAATGCACATAAAGGTCAAATGTATTAAAGCTGGGAATTTTCCAAATGATCTCTATAGTGTTGGTGCATTGTAAAACCAAGCATATAAAAAATGTTAGTTGTAAAAACCTTATATAATTTTTGTGCTGAATACACATAGAATATTTCAAGAAATAATATTATTTCTGTATCTTGGTATTTTATTGTAATATAAAATTTTATTTGAAATTTAAACCCAATCATTAATTATACAGGCTACGATGTATTAAAATCTTTAGATGCCATAAAAAAAGAATACATGTATCATTCCAACTAATGATTATTGTACAAAAAATGAAGTTTATTTGGTTTTAAAGTTGTGTTATTTTGTCTGTTAGAATTTGGGTCTGAAAATTGATCCGCATGGTCCAAACTTCATTTGAGTGGAAGTCGGAAGTGTGATGCACGCCACAAGAGTGTTTTGGAATTACGTCTATAATAAGAAATAACGCATCATCAAACCTTCTTTACTTTTAATTACGTTATTATAGATACAAACTATAGCCTCTACAATGGCTGAACGTACCAAGTTTGGTAGTGAATATTCGGAGAGACGAGCGAGAGGAAACAAGCATGTGGTCGTGTTGTCACGAACTTTACAGACAGATACAGTGATGGACTTCTTACTTGAGTTTTACGCTCATCCTAAATTAGAGGTTTGTTTATTTGATTTGTAAAAAATTTACAAATTAGGGATTAATTGACAAAAAGTTCCTTCTTCTTAGCAAATTTGGCAGACCTAGAGATATAGCTTCTACTACTGAGCTAATTTAATGAACATAGAGGTAGATCTCGATATTCTGAGCTAAATTTGGCAGGCATTGAGGTAGAAATAAATTAGATCTACAGTGCCTTATGAGTTTTCTTGGGGAAGTGGGTTTGGGGGACGCTTTGGTCTTGTGATTGATATTATACAGTGTTTGATTTAGAAATTAAGAAATTCATGCATTTTCAAAAATTTTGAATCTGAAACATATTATGATGTCTACTTCTACACTTTGAACTCCTATAATTATGTATTAAACAGACCTGTTAAATTGTTTGTTGTAGACTTAATATGAGCCGTATCATAACAAAACCAACAATGGGTTTGCAACCAGCATGGATCCAGACCAGCCTGTGCATCCGCGCAGTCTGATCAGGATCCATGCTGTTCGCTTACAAACCCTATAACAAGTAGGGAAACTGATAGCGAACAGCATGGATCCTGATCAGACTGCACGGATGCGCAGGCTGGTCTGGATCCATGCTGGTTGCAAATCCATTATGTTGGTTTTGTCATGACACGGCTCATATATTATTATAGGAGTTGTTATATTTAAAATGTAAATATTTTGTAAAAGTTACATTTAACTTGCTAAGAAATATTTTAAATTCCTAAAATAACGTATGCATGTTGATGATAAAAAGGAAAGTTTTCACAACAAATGTTATATGTAAATTGTTAGTAATATAAATCATATCTCACTGCTAAAATGTAGCATATGATATATTAACATTTTATTTGTTAAATTTTTGCAATAGACTCTTGTTCCCTGCAGGATAATAGTTAAATCATATTTTTCATTGAAGGAACATATAGTTGTGTTGATGGCAACAGATACCATGGATGGAAATATGCAAATAATTCTCAAAGATCCCAAATGGTCGCAGCGTGTTGTGTACATGAGAGGATCTGCTTCAGAAAGATACAGATCTGAAGCGTTGTCGTATAGCGAGGCTGAGGCGTGTTTTATTTTAGCACCAAGATATATTCAAGATAGGACTAAAGCAGTAAGTGGTCTATATGTGTTTTAGTTTTCTGGTAATTGGTAAAGAAATTATATAAAATTGTGTTGTTATGCCCCCACTTAATGCAGGGGGTATATAGATATTTGCCTACACTGTCTTGTCTGTAGTCTGACAAAACAGTGTAATATAGGGGCATCTGTGTCCTATAGACACATTTCATGTTTTGTATAATTATGTTTCCAGATATTACTTTTATCTTGCTTGTGAACAAAGCTTGAAGCTTTTGTGAATCAACATGGAGACTGATATTTAGAACTTACCAGTACTGGTGTCTTATGAATAAACATGATTATATCTAGAAAGATTTGCACCCGCTATGATGCTTTTCTTTGTATAAAATTGTGTTAACTCTACGTTACTACAAAGCCAAGGGCTGCAAAGTTTGTATCTGCTTCTCCAATTGAAATTACAGTTTTTTTGAAAGAGACTTATATGCAAATGCCCTTTGTATTTTTGCTATACCTCTTTCAGTATAAGGAGAACCAATCATTTATTTTGGAATTAAAATTTAAAAAAAACAACAACAAAGAAACCCAACTTAAAACAAAAAACTGAACAGGCACATTTTTTGAGGATTTATCTTAAAATGGGCATCCATTGAAATCTATAATGAATAGATAACTATGTTTACATACAATGTTTTATAGGACCAGCATACAATTTTAAGATCTTGGGCTGTGAAAGATTTTGCGCCAAAGTGTAAGCAGTATATCCAGCTGTTTAAGCCTGAGAACAAAATACATGTGAAGTTTGCAGGTACGTACAGATATATCAAACCAGACAATTGTTTTATTAAGTTAGGTTTCATTTTGAGGTGGGAAAATTTCTATCTAAAATTTGATTGCTAATTTATTTGTAATCATTGAATGAAAACATGCAGAAACCTTATATTGTCACTTTGAAATAAGTAGCATAGTAACACCTCAATGGACCATTCAACACATGTAGGCAAACATTGAAAGATCTTATTATTTAACCTTGAAAGTAAGTAACATAGAGACCTCCTTCTATCAGCAGCATTTTTAGTATGTTATGTATTTTATTATACTTGCTAAACAATTTTAGCTTCTCATATTGAAATCCTTATAACTTACAATAGAATGTTCAAAATAAAGTATGAATAGGATTTTTAAGAATTAAAGAACTTATGGTTCAAGGTCATAAACAGTTATGTGGCATGTATATCTTAAAAAAAGTTTTGTCAAGAATTGTTTCATTCAGTTAACTAATTAAGTATGTAAATATTTTACATATTTCAGAACATGTTGTGTGTGAGGACGAGTTCAAATATGCCTTACTTGCCAACAATTGTCTCTACCCAGGATTATCTACCCTTGTTTCCTTGCTGGTGCACACATCAGGTGGATTGTAAGTCTAATTATATATATAGTTATCTAGATGAGTTACTGCCCCTGAATAATATATAATCCAGTTAGTTTTCTCCCTTTTTGTACACTAATGTTATGAAAGAATTGAGAGTGACTTCCCTTTGATATGATAATCAAGTTTGTTCGAACATCTAAAGTCCGTAAATGTACATAATCAGTTTTCTGTATCAAATTAAGTGATGAAAATATTACTTAGCCCCCTTAATGAAAATATTCCAATACCATTATATTCAAGAATTACTCCCCTTAGATCACTAGATTATGTTAGTCAAAAGTTACTCCCCATTTATCTAGTTTATAAATTGGTTTGCTACTACCTAGTTTTTACTAATACACCGAGTTTGTATAAAGGGCATGTAATGTGTTAGTATTTTAGAGCTTTTATATAGTTGTTAAATTTCACTATAGAACAAAATCACATAAATTTCAAGAGATTCAGCTCTTAATCAAAGAATGCACATTTGCAGCTATTCTGGCATGCATTTTAACTATGGCTGTTAAATGTTTATCCTTCACTGGCAAACCATGTATTGCTTGATACTTAATGTAAGTTTTTTAAATGCCTTAAAAGTTCATTTATAATAAAGTGTTAGACTACCGTATATGAAATGACTCTGTAATTGGCTATAAGGGCATAAAGAAAACCAGACCATTACATAGATATAGTATACATGTAAAAGGTCTTCATGCTTGTAGAAGGTTAACATTTGCATACAGATACCAGTAGATGACTTTAATAATACCCAGATGTAAGCATCTGTTCAAGCCAGTTCTTACTGGAAAAGCACCATATGACCTTTTTATTCAGTGTTGAGCATTGTTAAATAAAAACAAAACAAAAAAGAATTCAAAAATAAATGAAAAAAGAAAAAAAAACACAATGAATTGACAAAATTGTTGTAACATGCTGTAGAATAATTGTAGTGATATGAATTGATATGATATGCAGCTTACAGAGTTACTAACTGTTACATTCATTATTTAATCTCAATGTTCATGATTATTTAAATTTTCCTTTGTTCGTAATTCATACTCCCTGTTTATGATTTATATCTATGTCCATGGTTTATTGCTATGTTCATTATTAATTTCCTACATGTATGTTCATGATTAATTAAGTGATGTTCATGATTATTTTCATTTGTTCATAACTCATACTCCCTGTTTATGATGTATTTCTATGTCCGTGGTTTATTGCTATGTTCCTGGTTAATTTCCTATGTTCATGATTAATTATGTAATATTCATGATTAATTATGTGATATTCATGATTAATTTCATGATGCTCATGATTACTTATGTAATGTTATGATTAATTATTGTGATGTCCATGATTTATTTTGTGATGTTCATGAATACTTATGTAATGTTATGATTAATTATGTGATGTTCATGATAATTTTAAGATGTTCATGATTAATTAAGTGATTTTCATGATTAATTTCATGATGTTCATGATTAATTTCATGATGTTCATGATTATTATTTTTTGATGTTCATGATTAAAAATGTGATGTTCATGATTAATTATGTGATGTTCATGATTAATTTTATGATGTTCATGATTACTTATGTAATGTTCATGATTAATTATGTGATGTTCATGATTAATTATGTGATGTCCATGATTAATTTCATGATGTTCATGATAACTTATGTAATGTTTGTGATTAATTATGTGATGTTCATGATTAATTATGTGATGTCCATGATTAATTTCATGATGTTCATGATTAGTTATGTTATGTTCGTGATTAATTATGTGATGTTCATGATAATTTAAGATGTTCATGATTAATTAAGTGATTTTCATGATTAATTATGTGATGTCCATGATTAATTTCATGATGTTCATGATTACTTATGTAATGTTCATGATTAGTTATGTGATGTTCATGATTAATTATGTGATGTCCATGATTAATTTCATGATGCTCATGATTACTTATGTAATGTTCATGATTAATTAAGTGATTTTCATGATTAATTTCATGATGTTCATGATTATTATTTTTTTATGTTCATGATTAAAAACATGATGTTCATGATTAATTTCCTATGTTCATGAATAATTCCCTATGTTCATCATTTATTCCTATATTCATAATTAATTCTCTATGTTCATGATTAATTCTCTGTGTTCACATTAATTCTTAATGGTCATGATTAATTCCCTTTGCGCATGATTATTTTTCCATTTTCATGATAAATTCTTCACTTAATTCATCATTGAATGTTCATTGATTAATTCTCTTGTTCATAATTAATTCTCCCTGTCCATGATTAATTATTTTTGTTCTTTATGTTCATTATTATTTGTCATAGTTAATGATTGGTTTAATATGTTCATGGGTAGTTCTCTATGTCCATGATTTATTTCCTATGCCCACGATTAATTCTTTATGATATCTTCCCTCATGATTTTTACTCTATGTTCTCAATTTATTCCCTACATACAATGTGAGTTTCTTTGTTCATTATTAACACTCTTCATTCATTCATTCATAATTAATTATGTTTGTTCATAAACATTTTGGTTTATAAATCATTTATAACTATCATTCACCATGAGTTAGACTGGCTTTATAAATTCTCAACCTGTGTCTCAACATTCATGATTAATTTCCCTGTATTCATAATTAATTGTCAACATTCATGATTAATTTCCCTGTATTCATAATTAATTGTCAACATTCATGATTAATTCTCTACACTAGATATGGTAAAGGGTCCATTGAAGGGACAATACGCAGGTAAATCCTTGTTTTCCTACCTTGCATATAGTACACAGAATCCATTCATATTATTATTTACACACAAAATTAAAGAAAACAAAAACAAACCAAGCTATCCCCATAATGTCAGCACAAGCATACATGTACTGGTGTTTTGTCGCTTTGAAAGGAGGAGCATTAGACTGGTATATTACTAATCTCAATTTTTATAATATGACAAGACTTTTAATGCCACATGCGCCAGATCAAACTTTGTCATTGTCCATGTAAATGATTGTTTGAAGAGATGTTGTGCACATTGATTATAGTTCCTATTTTTGATCTGTACAATCAGAGTTACAGCCTTTGATGTAGCTAGAACTAATCCAGTTTTAGGCAGCATCCTATTTTAAATCAGATATTTTATAATTTGATCCTTAAGTAAAATTATTCAAACCATACCCAAATATTAATTGGGCAGAAATGTTATGCCACTTGGTTTTAGTTTCCTAAATTATTTGACCAGTAAAACAGGAGTTATGGCCCTTTGTATCTTACATTAGAGTTTATTTGGTTGAGATGTTTTTCATTTTGGTTTTATATTCTGAATAGTTCCAGAAATACCAGAGTTACGGCCCTTGACATAGAAAAAGAAAAATCTTGTTACAGGACCTGATATAGTAAAAATGAATGCATTGCTACTTTTTGAAATGTCAGAAAGTTACCAAATTTGTAAACAGTTGTTTGATAGGGTGTGAATGTAGTTAGTGGAGAATATCATAATGTCCGGTGGACACATCTTGAGGTTTCTTTGAAAAGAAATTAGTGTATGCTTGTGCTGATGCATTACTTTGCTTTTTGTTTATACTTGTGTTGTTTTTTTGTTGTTTAGAAAAAAATTATGGGATACTGTGGTTCATTATCTTTTTTTTAAAAGAAAAAGTGTTTAATTTACAGATTATTCTGAGTTATTTTTAGAAACATTGTGTTAAACAAGATAGTTAATTGATTGATATCAGTTACCTAAAACAGTCAATACATTTTAAAGCAGCACACCTCCAGGTTCATAATATTTTTTTATTTGGTTTAACTTAGCCCAAGGCACAAGTGTTTAAATCAAGTTGTAAAAACTTACCCTATGGCACTTACTGAGGTCTGAAATTACCTGTAACAATCAAAGTATGAAAAGATACCAGACTTTCTATTAAAAGCTGGTAGATATATGGTGTTAAGAAAGTTAAATCTGTCATAATACTGTATATAAAACATCCAGAATGTCACTTGAATTGTGAGAAGGCGTCAGTGGATATTTTTTTAACCCTTCACCTGCTAAACTTGTGTAATGGGTTTGTCTAATTGGTTTCAATGTTCAAGCGATTTCATTGTCAAAATATAAAAAAAGTAAGCTAACAGTATAAACTATAAAGGTAGGGTCAAAGGTTATGAAGAACATTTCTATACTTAAGCTCAGATCTCTGGTATTTGATTGGTCAGAAACAAGCACGAAATGTGTATTGACCAATGGAAATGCTGATATTAGAGACTGAATCATAAAGAAATTATAACCTCCTGGTCACTGGTCCGATTACACAAAAGTAAAGTACAGGCTGGCCTGGCTCTGTACAAGTAGCAAAGGCAAATCACTTTCATTTCTAGCAGGTCAAGGGTTAAAGTTTTAATTTTGTGAAAATTTGTTCACTGATCTAGGGGTGTGCAGCTTTAAGGTAATGAATTCATTTTAACCAAGTCATCTTCATATTGTAGTGGTAAATATAGGCAGTTGAGAAAAAGGTCTGTTGTCATGTCCACCATCTGCTTTATTCACACTGTTCCTATCCCAGCTTATGCTAAAACCTGCTTATTTTATGCTAAAACTAGCTTATGCTAAATTGCAGCTTATGCTAAATACATGTAGTAGCTAACTGCTAAAAATAGGCTTATGCTAATTATATTAATAGTAGTTTAATGCTATTTATTCCAAATTTAAGCAAAACTTTCAATTTGACTTTTTAATTATTTATGTAACAATCATTGCAATAAGAAAGTTTTGCAAGCCCAAAATTTTGCGAAAAAATAAACATTAACTTACAATAGGGGAGGATTTATTTTAACAAACTTCTATTTCTTCAATGTTTGTTAAATATATATGGTACATGTAGATTATTTTTATAAGTGTGAACTTTTTCTTCATTTTTGCAAAAACTTTTATTTAATGAAATTTATTCCCTCATTAATTTTTTGATTTTACAGTATTTGTCTAAAACATTGAGATTATGCAATAGTAGTAATGTATTTCTCAATTCCTATGTTTCACAACAATTTTTTTTAGAGGGAAGCAAAGTCATTGGTTTGTCCATTAACCCTTCTGTCCTGCATTAAAAGTATATGATTTTTAAGATACCTTCTTTTTGAAATTGGGTCATGATGATTATGGTTAAAGAAACCCTTCATTTATGGACAGGTATTTTACATTGATATACAGGTACCTTACACACAGTTTACTGGTACTCCTTTTCTTGGTGGATGGGAGAGGGGTTTCTGTTTTCCCCTATGATTTAAATATGACTGTAAACCTAGAACATGATGAATTTCTAAATGGACTTGTCCCACTTCCATTTTGGGACTGTCCATTACCAATTTTAGGGATATCAATTTTGAATTTAGTTTGTCAGCCAACAGTATAGAGCCTCAGGTCAGACTGTAGGGATGTGCAGACTGGCCTGGCTCTATACTGATGGCAAAAACTTAACGCTTTCAGTTCCACCACTTTCAGGTTTAAGCTGTGTCAAAACAGCATTGAGAGCACCTGTTTTTGTTAAAGTTGATGTTTAATTGATTTTCTTTGATATTGCTGAAGTTTAAACAAATAGATCTACACAAAGCAGCCTTTTCATGAGATATGTGGGTGAGACTTTGATTCTGAGAGAAAAAAAAAAGATTTTTCAAACTGAAGAAAGGAATTATTTTTTGTAAAATTTAATGCAAAAAATGTATTTATGTGTGCTAAGAATTTGTATATAAGATAAAAATGGAATGATCAATACATTTAAACTTGTTTTTTTTTTCAAGTTAAATGTCTTTGTTGTTGAACCAAACTTGATCTTGAACAAGCAGTAACTGTTACAAGAATGAACATGAAGACTATGGTGTTCAGTAGTGTGAAAGAAAGAATGATAGTGTACTTTGAAATTAAATATATGGAACAAAATCATGTACTCAACCCTTTACCACCCTAAATATCTTATATGGACTTGTCCATCTTTAAATGAGGACTTAATCATTTGTGGGAAAATTTGAAAGATAAAACGCACTGACTGAATAGGGTAAAGTGTAGACAATGATCTGACAGTACGGATGTGCCAGCTGATCTAGGTCTACAATGGTTACATAGGTAGGTACAGTTGCCACCAGCAGGTTTAGTTTGAAGGGACCTGCGTTCCTGAGTAGTTAAGGTGGCTGACTGCCAACCCCTTGCCTATTACATCTTCGGGAGTTGGTACTTGTGTGTGTGAGCAAGGTAACACTCTATCTAGCTAGCTTATGGAGGGTTGTTAGTTCTATAAAAGAAAGTGCTCATAGGTATTTAAAATCAAAGACAGGCGCCTGAGGCCTAAATCCTGTACTACCAAAACCAGAAAATCACTGTGTAACATTTCCGGTCCAGCATAATCTTACCACCAACAATTAAAAAATAAACATTTGAGCCGTGTCACGACAAAACCAACATAATGTGTTTGCGACCAGCATGGATCCAGACCAGCATGGATCCGCGCAGTCTGATCAGGATCCATGCTGTTCGCTATCAGTTTCTCTACTTGTAATAGAGTTGGAAAGGGAACAGCATGGGTCCTGATCAGACTGCGCGGATGCGCAGGCTGGTCTGGATCCATGCTGGTCGCAAACCCATTATGTTGGTTTTGTCGTGACACAGCTCATTTAGGGATTATAGGGATAGAATAATTTATAAATTATTCATTATAAATGATATAAGGGAAGTAATTGATAACTCATTTAACATTCATTTTTTGAATGTGATTAAAAAGTGAGATAACCTTTTACACATGTATAATTATTATATAATATGGAAGAGAGATAATTTTTTCATTGAACCATTTTTTATACGAAACCTCAAACAATTACAAAAAAAAACTGTATGCAACATTTTAGTCTAGTCATAAGACTTAGTATATAAATATAATTAAAGTGGGGAGGGGGGTAAATATACAGGTACAAATATAAGGAGTTAATCTTTCATTTACTAAAATAAAGTAACTTTTATTTGAAACTGTAAATCAAACAAAGTTGCAAAACACTAAATTTTGTACATATATTGCAATTGTCATTGATTTAATTCATAAAATAAAAAATCTTAAACATAATTTAATGTGGTTATTTCTGCTTTTTAAATAGAGCTTTTTTTAATAACAAGCATAGTAAATTTAAGCATAAAGATATTGAAGTAATAAAATAATTAAATTATTAAGATGCACCAATGTTTACATGTATATGCACTAATAATTATTGTAATTATAAGTCTGCTAACTAGAGATTTAATATATTTCTTAATTGCTTATCTAATCAAATTTCTAAGATGTTATTAGATAGAGAAAAAAACAACATGCTAATTTACTAGTCAGATATGCTAACCTATGTAATACATAATCTTTGATATGTGTATTATATCCTAACATGGCCTCTGTGACAAAGTGTCATAATGTCAATGTCATTTACTCAACCTGTACTTGACAGTTACTGTGGGTTTGGATCCCAGCAGGGACTTTAGATAATTTGATATGTGGAAGCCGTGCACCTTCTGTTACTAAGGAATGTCAATGGTTCTACTCAGTTGCTTACGTATACCTGAAGTAATGAACAGAGGGGCACCCTAGGTCCTGAAAGCTGGAAAGTTGTCATTTCACTCTTCACTGTGATACCGGGTATTACAGTGACTTAAAATAAAAATCCAACCAAATGAAAGTGGACATTATAAATTATGCCATGGTTTTTGCTTGTTTTGCATAAAAACAGTGCATATAAAAACAGTGCATCCATCATCACCTTGTGCTAGATAGAGTCGAAATACATTCAGAAGGCATTTTGCTTTAACACGTTTAAACTTCTTTTCCACCAAGAATCTGCTTGTTTAGTCATTAAACAGACAGAGCATTACACTATCAATTTTAGTTATTAATTAAGCAGTCAAAGCAATTCACTGCCAATTTTTATGCAAAATTTAGACACCGCAAGTAAAAATGGTAACTGGGTACATAGTTATGTAATTGAAATTTAAACAAAAACAACACATTTTAAAATTTACAAATTGTTGTTTTTTTATGCCAGTTTTATAGCTTCATCTTTTATAATTGCTTTTTAAACTGTATTAAAAATGAACAAACTTGACATTGATTGCCAGTCAGTTGTTTTTGTTGTCTTTAGAATTCAGTAGTTTGAGTTTGATCATAGTCATCAAACTTTCTCATTCATTTATGCAGAATTCTTACTGTAATTTTGTTATTATTGTTTTTTACTGCTGCAAAAGGACTTAAGCTAATATACACAGAAGGTATTTTTATTTTCTTCTCAGAGGGCATATATTAAGGAGAAAGATTTAAATTGAATTATTTACTGGTATAGTAACTAAATGGTTAAGGTTTTGTCCCATCCTTTACTAGTATTTAATTTGTCATAAATCACTTGATGTGAATTGTAGTTATACATTAGGAGTTTTTACCATATAGTTATCAAAATATCTTTATTTAAAATTCTTTGGGGTAATTTTTGCTCTTTGAGCTACAGTATTAAAAATGCTTTTTAAGAATGATGATATGGATATGGACAGAAATGTATTGCATGTTAAACAATGTAAAGTTAAGGCACTGTGGCTTATATTTCATTCAAATGAGATATAGTAAAATATTTATGATTGGTTAATTTTCAGTGAAGGGGAGTTAGCAACTGACCAATGGCAACAGACTTACGGCAGACACTCAGGAAATGAGATATATCATATACAGCTGGGACGTAGTGCATTCTTCAGTGGTTATGAGGGTAAAAAATTCACTGAAGCATCAGCAGATGCCCATCAAAGGTCAGTTGACAAATTTGCATTTTGTATTTGAAGAAAAACATTACTTTACTGTGCAGTACTGTTGAATTTAAATAGAAACTTGCATGTAAGTACATAGAGTGTTTTAGTAGACAGGTGTATTTCCTTGTCTCCCTTTTAGATGCAATTGTAGGGTTCTGTCAGCCTGTCAATTGCAACAATATTCATGTCTGCATAAACACTTTATCTGTTTATTCTTTTTGAAACTTCACACAAGTTGTCTGGTCTCTTTCGAAGATCCATAACTCAAAATTGAATTTGAATACTGTGATTACAGTCCTTTGTTAACTTAGAAAATTTCTTGTAAGGCTTTGTTTGCAAGGTTCGTCTGGCATTTTCAATGATCAACTGAAAATGATTTAAAAATAATTATTTGATATCTATTAATTTGCAAGCAGCCTATAGAAAGCTATCTTGACCTCTGTTATAGTTGCTATACCTTTCTGACCAAATTAATCTCTTGTGGCTATATTTAAATATACTTGTATTATATTCATAATATTGCATATTCATACTATTGCTATATTTGTATCTATATTTAGATTTTTGTTAAATTGTTTCTATTTTTAGATTTGGTATATCTTTGGTGGCTGTCTTGGACACTACAGTAGAAGAGCCACATTTACAGCTGAACCCGGGACCTACGTACATCCTCAAAGCTACAGATTTCTGTTTCTATATGAGTGTAACAAAAGAGGAATATGCTAAGATACAACCAGATGCCCTTAAACAAGATGATAGTAAATCTAGTAGAGCCAAGAATATGGGTGGGTACTGCATTATTTAAAATATATGGTTCTGATATGGGTGGGTACATTATTTAGAATTTGTGATTCTGATATGGGCGGGTACATTATTTAGAATTTGTGATTTTAATATGGATGGGTACGTTATTTAGAATATGTGATTTTAAGCTCTTACCCTGGTGAAGCAAGAAGTGATTAACCTTTGCCGTCAGTATATAGCCGGGCCAGCCTGCACCTCTGTGCTGTCTGACAAGGCTTTATCCTGTTTGTATTTTGATGACCCTATAAATTCCGAATGGACTTTTTCAAATTCAAAGGAAGGGAATCCAATTAAACAATTTAAGTAGATAACACTGGTTGCCAGTACTGAACTATAAAGGTTTGTAGCTTAGGATCACTATAAAGGTTTGTAGCTTAGGATTGGGCTACCACAAATGCATTTTGGAACACCTCAGAATTTTGAAACACTTTGTTTCTTAGTATGATACCAAAATTGACTATCACAAATTCAAAATGTACCATCTCAGAAAAGTAAAATTTTAAATGACAACACTGACTATAAAAAGGCTCTGGTTAGGTTTTGACTAGTAAACCAGAGAGAACCGGATAAACCTGTTGAATTAGCCACACAGCTATTTGATGTAGCCAGTCATACAGAGCTTGGCCATACTACAATTGTGCAGCCAAACAATATAGAGACTGCAACAGTGTATATAGTAAAATCAAATTATACAAATATGTTTGCTGTACTGACTTTGTTCTGTTTGTATGGAACAGTCACACATGCAATTGCTTTAAGCATTTTGAGAATTAAATTTTATATATATACAGTGGCTTACAGAATTGAGTATATTTAGAAGGGTTACCTGAAAAATATATCTCATCACTTAGCTCAATAGGGAAAACATCAAGTGATCGCTGGTTCATCCCTGCAGAGTCAAAATTATCCATGACAACTGATGTAGTCATTAATTTTGTTTTTCACCGCATATTTAGAAATTGTGGTAATTGAGTATATTTAATCTAGGATACATAAGAAATATGTCTGCTCCCTGATCGGCTCAATAGGGAGAGCATCAGATTTATAATGCAGGGGCGGTGATTTGATCCCCCGGGGCAAAGCGAAATTTCTTTGTGACAATTAATCTTGTAGGAAATTGAGTGTAATGGTCATTTGTCTTTCACCGCTTATTTAGAAATTATGTGTGATTAGTAGTGACTTGCATGGAAATTGGTAATAACTGTTCATGGAAATTGGTAATAACTGATTACTTATCTAGGAAAGTTGTTTAGATGGACTGACTGCGGATGTTAAAATCAGCATAAAAACCAGATAAATAAACAACAGTGATAATTTTGTATATACAGAACGTATGGCAGCAGAATTACAGCGTATGCTCGAGTCAGATGATGAGGATGAAGATTATGGTGAAGAGGAATCAGTTTTTAACACCATAACTATACAACAAGGGTATAAATTTCTGTTGGGATTTTTCATCATTCTTGTGGGGAGTGAGATGAGCGTTTGTGGGTGGGGTGGAGGGGAGATTTTTTAATATCGTCCTACACAATTGGGGTAAACTAGTTTGAGCTGTACATAGACACAATCTTGTGTGCACTTTCTAGGAACTCTCAGCGAATTTTGAAAGAAATTGACCGTTATTGTTATGAAGTCTACACATGTATAAGGACTTTGACCTTGACCTAAAGTTAATTTATCAAATTATGGCAATCATTTTTTCAAAACATATTAAAGTTGAAATCACAGGTATGGGCCTTTTAATCACAATGACAGCTTATTTTAAATTATTTAGATCTATTCATTGTGTTGTCAGTAAATGGTGGCTTTCATTCTGATATATGATTGTGAGACATGTCTTTTATATCTATATAAAAACTACATTTTTATAGACTAGTCGACGATTATAGTAACAAGATAATAGAACAAAACAGAAATGCATGCACACTTGATTATTTTAGGGTTATTTTAGATTCTATATACTTTACTTTTGTATAGATATGAGTTAGCAAGTCGTGTACGTAGAGCCACATACTCTGCGGATGAAAGTGGAAAGTTGCACAATCCCCAGCAATCTCCAACAATGGACATGCATCACCGAGCTGTATTTAATAGAATGAATAGGTATTTACAAATATTATACATAAAAATAAGATAGAAATGAAGAAATAAAACACATCAACATCTGTGCAGGTTCAGTAATTTGATAATCTACCGGTTTCAGTTCTAACGTACCTTCATCAGGATAAACTTTTAAAAAAATTTCAAGCTAAAATATCGTAACATGAATGTATAATTTATCAGAAATATCTCAGAGTAAGACATGTTGAGGCCTTAGTATAGAAATGGTTATAACCATGAGAGTTTCGTGCTTGAAACTTGTAAATGTATGTGTATAACTCTGGATGCTTTCATTGACATTCCTGTCCCAACAAAGCCAGGTTATTCTATATAATTGGTAAGGTGTATGAATATAGCTTTTGAACATCATATTTTAGCAATTGTTTTATTAGCAATTGTTATATATTGACAAGTTCCTTGTTTCAAACTAAAAAAAAACAAGGCAAGCCCATTTAACAAAGTTTTCGTGATAATGGTTAAATTACTAAATCATTACATTGTCTGTATCTTAAAATTTATAACAATATTCTTACTATTTGTTGTTTAATAATTTATATAATAATTAAACCCTCTTCATGTAGTCCACATGAAGAGCATGGGAATAGCAAACTAGGGGTAGCTGGTTTGATCGTTGGTTGTGGTGTTGAGTCTAATGGTCATTTGGCACTCACGGTGATTCAGAAAATGTTGGTTTTGTAGTTTTTGTGGAAAAATTGGTAATTACTGCTTAGTTATTCAGGAAAGATGGTTAACTAGATTGACTGTCAAGATATGACCAAAATATGTAAAATCAAGAAGAAAAAAAACAACAAATAAACAAAAACCAACAAATATGTTGGCTATAATGTTTAATTATGCCTCCTAAGGTTTGGATGCTCAAATTGAGTATAACAGAGAAAAAATTTGTTTGTCAATAAAAAAGGATGTTTTTTTTGTCTGCATGTGGTGGATGTGTCTTTATTGTATTTACAGTCCTACGAAAACCAGCCCTCCAAAGAGCAATGGCGAACCAGTAGGTGAACCTCTGAAAAAGTTGTTTGTAGTTGGTCATGTTTCAGATGACAATCCGAGAGACCCAAGGGATAATCCTGACCACTTTGACCACATTGATGGCACAGATCAAGGCCAGATACTTGGCAAATATATGGATATGGACCAAGATGAGTAAGTTTCAAAGATCATATAAACATATTATGGATAAGCATTTAATTCCCATGTGAATTTGAATATTATAAATGATCATTTGAGCACCTATGACATCAGATTATTTGCCCCTCACTGCTGTGGGTTCAAATTTTACCAGGGACTCTTTGATTCTACCATGTGAGGAAGCTATCTAGCTAGTTTACAGAGCATCTCTGAATCTGCTCAGGTGCCCGTTTGTGCCTGAAATGATACATGTAATGGTCCCTAAGGACTTTTCCACTAGAAAAGCTGGAAAGTCACCATATGATCTTTACTGTGTTTATGTGCAACATAAAACCCAAGCAAAAAATAAAAGATCACTCCTTGTTACTTTCTTGTAAATTTGAATGTATTAAATGACCTGCAAAATGATAGGTGCTTTATGTCATTGTTTTGTATTGTCAGTTTTTAAAAAATATTTAAAATCATTTGTTATACTATGTAAATATTATTTTTGGAATACTGCCAGATAAGTGGAATTGGGAAAATGTGAAGTAAAATGTCTCAATTGGGAACTTTAAAATAATGTAAACTTTACTTATTATGTAAATACAGTACACACTGTTTTTTACCTTGGCATTTAATTTTTTTTTAATTAAATTTAGGAAGGGATATGAAAGGGACATGTATATGATATGTTTTCTTGTGTTTCCCAAATTTTGACATATAAAAATAATAATAATGGAAAAAAACACCAAGAAATAAGGAGTTTTGATTTCAGTTAAGGGTTGGGTGGTGTTTGGGGGGGGGGGGATATTTTTTTGCCTCAAAAATTAGAGTCCTACTTTTTTAGAAATTTAATAGAGGGAGGAAAAGGAGGCTTGTTTAAAGGTGAACTTAAAAAAACAAAACAAAAAAACAACATTATTTTTGATGAACAAATTCTTTTGCAAAGCATAAATTGACTTTATTTCAGAAATTTAAGGATCATTTTACCCACGATTGAAGAGTTTTCAGAAACACCTCAAAGTTTTATCCATGAACCTGTGGACCCTTTCAAGAAAGAGCGTGTGGGGGACAGTGTATTATTGAATAATCACTGTTCTTTAGATGAGTGAGTCCTGTGCCAGAAATTAGCAACGCTTGAAAAATTTAAAACAAGACTTAAAACTTCAACAGCAATAAAAAGTGTCATTTTTTTTTTGGGGGGGGGGGGGGGGGGTGTTGGGGGTAAATTTGTGAATATAACTGTATTTGCTCTGTTTTAAGACTGAGTCTTTGTCTTTCAATCTAAAGGGCTACTCTGAGTATTTTGAGAGACAAACTAATATGCGCGTATTGTAAAATTTAGAACCCTGCCTTATTAGCAGTTAGTCTTATGGGCGAATCAACACAAAAATCATTGTTGCTTAATAATAATGTAATTCTCAGTTCTGCAAAGTTTATATGAACACTTTAGGTAAAATTTCAATTTGATGTGAGGAGAAATGTAATCATTCGAGATGAAAAAGTCTTAGTGAAAAGTCTTAGTTTTAAGTTTCAGTGTTGATAATTACAAGCCCTGACTTCACCTTTTGTAGTTATACCATGTGTTATCACATTGAATGGCTTCAGATGCTGTTTCTTAAACTAAAATCTACTTTTTATATATACAGTTCTCAACATCTTTTATATTGATACATTGAATTTGTTTTAAGGAATTGCTGTTACTTTATACTCCCTCAAAATATTTTTTTTGTTGTATTGGCCTACGAAGAATATAACCTTCTATGTATTTATAATTTTGAAATTATTTTTATGGGGACAATTGTCACAGTCAACATTTGCTATAATATTTCATTAAAATGGAAGATTCCATGAAATTTGCCTGTTTAAAATTAAGTGTACATTATTTTTTCAAAATGAGCTTCAGTTCAATCAAGTACAAAATATTTTATTTATTATAATTATTAACCAGGTTTTCCGAAGGAAAAAACTGGTTATTAGATTGAGGTATGTCGGCGGGCGGGCGGATGGGCGGACGGGCGGGCGGGCGTAAACAATTTCTTCTGTGCGCAACTCCTCCTACATTTCTCAACAGATTTTGACCAAACTTTCCCAGAAGCTTTGTCATCAAGTGCCCTGGCGCATATTGTCGGGGTTTTGCGATTAGATAATATTTGACCTAATTATGGCCCTTTGTTTTTTTTCATTATATAGAATATATAGTGAACAATTTCTTCTGTGCGCAACTCCTCCTACATTTCTCAACGGATTTTGACCAAACTTTCAAACAGAAGCTTTGTCATCAAGTGCCCTGACACATACTGTCAGGGTTTTGCAATTGGTATATATTTGACCTAATTATGGCCCTTTGTTTTTTTTCATTAATATAGAATATATAGTGAACAATTTCTTCTGTGCGCAACTCCTCCTACATTTCTCAACGGATTTTTGACCAAACTTTCACAGAAGCTTTGTCATCAAGTGCCCTGGCGCATATTGTCGGGGTTTTGCGATTAGATAAAATTTGACCTAATTATGGCCCTTTGTTTTTTTTCCTTATATAGAATATATTGTGAACAATTTCTAACAGTGCGCAACTTCTCCTACATTTCTCAACGGATTTTGACCAAACTTTCAACAGAAGCTTTGTCATCAAAAGTGCCCTGGCGCATATTGTCAGGGTTTTGTGATTGGATAATATTTGACCTTATTATGGCCCTTTGTTATTTTTCCTTATACAGAATTGAACAAATTCTTCTGTGCTGAACTCTTCCTACATTTCTCAACAGATTTTGTTCAAACTTTCACAGAAGCTTTGTCATCAAGTGCCCTAGCACATATTGTCGGGGTTTTGTGATTGGATAATTTTTTACCTAATTATGGCCCTTTGTTTTTTTTCCTCATACAGAATATATATAGTGAACACTTCTTCTGTGCGCAATTCCTCCTACATTATTCATGTTTTACATTGCACATAGTTACATTGTTTGTTGCTTGTATTTGTATTTCAAATACAACATATTTGTCTACAATGGTGATAATTGAAAACCTGGTTTCATGGCATTGCCATGTTTCTTGTTAATTGCTGTTTCCATTTACTTCCAATAATATTATGAAAAGGAATCCACTGAGGTTTTTTGACATGGCATGAGAGGGCTTATAATAATTTTTCTAGATTATTCCATTTAATTTAGATATAGACCAATAACTTGTGTGCAGCATTTCAGATCATTTACTCACTCTGTTCTATTTTCAGAATAATTATTTTAATTGTGAAAATGACCCAAATTTTAAAGCATTGCAACAATTTTCACTCAAAATGGGCTAAGAAAAGTACAAAAATACGATTTTCAATTTATTTCTGATAACATATCTTAATTAGGTTTTCTTTTGCATATTTTCCTGTTTTCAGTGTCCTAGCTGATAAATGTAAGACATTCAAAAATTATGTTTAAGGCATTTGGACTTCAGTGGATTTCCTAAGATAATTGTTTGCATATTTAAAGTTCAGGATATTGAATTTTATTCTATAAGTGTTTGGAATACTAAATACATTGTATGAAAGACAAATATTTCCTAATGTACATTATCAAAGGCTGTTACAGTATACTCCTCTGAATGCCAAGATCGCTGTATCAAGTTAAGTAGATTCATTATTGTGTGGCTGTGTTATTACAATTTACGCCCATTTAAAATGAAATTGTTGCACAATGTCATTGTTATAAAATACCTTGATTGATGAATTTCCCTTATAACAAGTAACATTTCATTTTTAAATTGAATAACATAGAGAGGAGTCTGAAAGCAGTTATAATGACTTTCATCAACTATTTGGGCCGGCCAGTAGGTAAGCCCCGCCTTTGGAAATGGTTTATAAGCTTCAGTTACAATTTTTGCTCTTATAATATAAAAACGGTAGGATTTATTGATAATTCAACAAATTTTGCTTTGCGTTTTGTTGAATCAATTTCATTGTGGCTCGCTGATTAAGATCTATTTGAATGCTACATGTACACACAATGATTATTTGCCATTGCATTCAGTATCTAGTGAGGCCAGCCTGCCAATTAGACTGTCACACAATCTGCCCAATCTCTGTACTGTCGGCTGCTCAATTTTAGTTTTTCATTAGATAACATTGGACTGTTAAGAATTCAAAGCAGGTCAAGTCTGTTACTAAAATATAGAGGTCAAAGGGTTAATTATTATCTCAATCAAGATTTGGGGTTAGTGGATACTATCAAAATAACAAAAAAAAAATATATGTATCATGTTTAAAGGCATTTATCAAAATTAATTATTACCCCTATTAATTAAAATTACTAATGATTATGGTATCAAGGTGGTCTGTACATGTTTTATGCCAAGTTTGTTACAGGACAAAGATATTGCTAGAATTAATTTTTAGTGTTCATTATTCTTTAGAGGTTAAGAACTTCCAATTTATTATACAAAAATTATAATTATGTAAAAAAAAAATGCCAAAAGGTTTTCTTTCCTCCAAGATAGCATTATTTACCATAGCTATAGTATACATGCAAATTCACTTTTTTGGCTTTGCTAGGTAGACAGATTTATTTAGAAAATATTTTTGTTTCGCCAATCTTCATTTTTCATTTATATTCCAGTGTATCACTTTATAAAGACCTTTTAAAATCTAGCTTTGCATGTTCACATCGCTTTTTTTAAAGTAACAATTTTACATTATCCCCAGTTTAACAGCTAAAAAGGGAGGTTATTACAGTGTTGCAGAAGTTTGCTCCCTTGTCAATTTTGTGAGAAGGGGGTCAGTAACCTTTGAACTATTTGATACAGGAAAGTCAGTTATTTGATTTCTAAACAATTCAGATTAACTTTTGTGGTTAAAATGAATGTTTGGGAACTTCTACTTTCAGTTCAGTACTGTTAGATTTATGAATGCCATTAAGCAAGCATTTATTGTCACGAAGACTCTTTAGTTTGCAAATAAGAGAAATTCAACTAAAAAATTTCTTATTTTACAGTACTAAGCACTGATAACTATAGGCCTATGTCACACACAAGGTTGTTTAACATACCATACTTACATATATTTGATTAATGATGGGTTCAGTATGTGTAATAAAGACAATATGTCTAATCTATTACATGTATGTGGTCCATTTGGGTTTCCATAGGTGTATAGATAAGCATTTTAAGACGCTGTTTGTTAGAATTTTCTTAAAAATGAATTCCTACATTCCTACATGGTACCACAGAATAGGCTTTTCTACAAACACTACTTTTGCACCATTGCACTACCTGAAATCTTCCTCCCGAAGTAAAACTTGAAAGTAAACATGTGACATCTACAGTGTCACTTGAGAAAAAAAATGCCTGTGATAATATAACATAATGTATTATAGGGCATGTGTGAACACAGCATATTAAGGCAGTTCTGTTCTTTAGACTTAATCAGATACATAATAGTATACATCATATATACATATAATATATGCTCCTGACATGAATATAGTCTTATTGAGTCTTTCTGTATGTCCATCTCTCTGTGGACGACTTTAACCTTTGGCCATTTTAGGGCCTGATTATTATAAATCTTCATACTTTGACAATTAAGAGCATTATCTGACAAATTAAACGCTGATTTTTATCCCTTTATGAAAATGACTTGCAAGGTAAATCTTTTTAAAAATTTAGGAATTTTGTCATAATGTTGTAACTACAGTAAATTTTTCAGATTTTGGAATAAGGCTTAATAATCTGTTTTAAACTTTTAGGAATATTTTGAAAATATTTGAGTAATGTGAGAAGATAAGCATTATCGTAAATGCATTTAAAGCCATTCAAGGACAGCAATCTGATTTAGTTTGTAATTAATACTCACTGTTTGATTGAGTTTGTTTTGTTGGTATCTCACAAAAATAGTAGAAGGTTTTAGTTGAACTAACACCAAATTTGTATATTACAGAAACCAATATATTCTTGCCCAAAAGATAATAAAATGGTCTTTAACACATAGAGTGCTGATAGAGATAATTAGATACCTATTGTATCATATCATAAAAGAGAAAAAAAAGAATCCCTAGAAAAAGCCCAAAACGGCAAAATTGAAAATGTTACAGTCTCGGTTTGATTGAGGCTGTTCATGGACTGTACAGGAAAATGCAAGTTCCTGCATGTCCACCACCTCCTACAATCTGGCATGCACATCTGTGCTTAGTCCAACCTAACTCATTAATGTTATCCAATTATTTTTTAGTAATTTGATTTTAAAAGAACAAAGACTGAAAGATTGGGACCATGATCTTCAGAGATATTTCAAAAATCATTTGTTTCTTATGGTGTAAATTAAACTTGACATAATGATATTTACTAAATCAAATGATTAAATTGGAAAAAAAATGAAGAAGAATATATTGGGTAAATCAAATCATTAACTAATCAGTCATTTGGTTAATTTAATCATTTCAATCATTAAAATGGCAGTCATTTTGGTTTATTAAATTATTAACAAGCAAGTCATTTTGATTTATTAAATCATTAACAATCTAGTAATTTGGTTAAGTACATGTAAATCATTAGCAAGCCATTCATTTGGTTACCTAAAACATTAACAATACATTAATTTGGTTAATTAAATCATTAACAAAACATCAGTTTGGTGAAATAAATCAGTCATTTGGTTAAGTGAATCATTAACAAATCTTTTTTATTTTGGTTGATTAAATCATTTATCATTTTTACCATTTACTTAGGTTAATTAAATTATTAAAGAATGCATTTGGTTTAAATAGATTATAAGATAGGGTATAGATGTTATAATCATCCTGTTTAACTTAACTTTTTGTTGAATAATATACTTTTAAATTTTTGATTACGTCAGAAGGAAATAATTGAATCTAAATTTTTATATAGATAATTTATGACTAAATCTTGTGAATATACAAATATGTAATTGTGTTCAACCTTTAAAACTGATTTATAAGACTTTGAGAAAGTAATACAATTTGAAATTTATTTGTCAATTATATGAGTTCATGTTATGTTGTTGATTACAGATTGATTACTTTTACTTTGGAAGTTTGAGAGAAATAACTGAAATAAATACATAATATGCATACATGAAAAAGTCATAGTTACGTCTTTGTTGTTAGATATATATATATATAACTTCCTGCCTAGAAATTTTACGAGAATTAACCTAATATTACTTACACAACAAATACATAATCATATGATGTTGTTTTTTCAGGTTTATAACTGGACCTCCTCCTGTCACATTGTATGTAGGATCAAAGAGAGCTATTTGTCATTTAATGAAGGAACGAAGACCAATATGTTGTCTTGAATGGGGAACAGTAAGTACTTGCCTATTTGTGTGTGTATTTGATTGGTGTTTATTTATACTCACCAGCGAGTCTTCAAGAAGACTATTAGTCATTAGATTTTGGTGGATAGTTTTCCAGAATCATTTCCTGGCTCTTTAATGTGCTTACTAGTGTTTAAGCACTCAAACACAGGACTTTGACTTAAAGTCTCACCCGAAAAACTCTTTTAGTAATTTTTGTTGGCGAGCCCAGAAATCAAACCCTCAATGTCGAGATTACTTACCTATTTAATAACACCCCAGTTATTATGGTCAATATTATATTATATAATTATATTATATATTATTAAGTTATATTTCAAGCTTTCTACATATATGTTTTGTAGCCAAAATTCACTTAAATTGTTGGAAATGGAGCCTTTACCGGTACATCCATGCCATCTGATAAAAACTCTGTTCCTCTAGATGGTTAATTTTAATTATATTTTTTTATTCTTAACCTGCTGAATTTGTGTAATGGATTTACCCTACTTTGAATTGCCACAGTCCATTTGAAGTTTAAGGGTTTTTCAAAAATATTGAGTTACCAACAGTATAGAGGCTGGTCATACTGCATGGAACTGGCAAAAGCTAATCACTTTAGGATCCAGCCAGTTTTGGGTGACTTAAATTCAAAGCAGGATAAATTTCTTACACAAATTCAGTAAGGTAACAGTTAAAATCACATAATTACTTATGTATTTCATTAAAGGAAGTTTAATACTTGGACCTTGATATTGGAAAGAGCAAAGCTTTAGTAAAATCTCCCATCTGTAAGGGTGACAGTCATGTGGTTAAATCTTGGACAGTTGTCACAGCAGTGTGTGTTTAACTTTATATTAATATAATGTTAATAATTAAGTGTTTTCATAATGGCCTAGGTTAACTAGCTGAAGACTGTCATATTATTAAATGTCACTTTAAATTATTTCGATAATTTGATGCTGCCTTAAACTCACTGTAACAATATAAATGAGCTGTGTCATGACAAAACCAACATAATGGGTCTGCGACCAGCATTGATCCAGACTAGCCTGCACATCCGCGCAGTCTGATCAGGATCCATGCTGTTCGCTATCAGTTTCTCTTCTTGTTATAGGGTTTGTAAGCGAACAGCATGGATCCTGATCAGACTGCATGGATGCGCAGGCTGGTCTGGATCCGTGCTGGTGGCAAACCCATTATGTTGGTTTTGTCGGGACGCGACTTAAATAGTATCTGAGTATTATTTTACAGGACTGTAGTCACTGTAAGTACAAGAATACAAACGATGAGAGATGGACTCATCAGCTGATTATACTAGCTGCCGAACATGCATGTAACGGAATCTACAACTTTATAGTACCTCTACGTTCACAGTTCATTGGAATGAAGTCCCTCTGCCCCATTATATTGTTATTGGAAGAACAGTATGTCTTTTTTTTCATTAAGTATCTTATAGAGTTTCAGTTTCTGCCATTTAGATCAGAGTCATGTATTCTTTTCATTGAAAAAAAAAAGATATTAAACAGCAAGGACTGACTATAATATCAAATGATAATGGCTAAATACATAAGAAAATACAATTTAATTCTGTTCTGAATACATGGGGGGCTCTATGGCTTTGTGGTTTATGTCCTTGACTTCTAACTGCTTGCCTCTTATCACTGTATGCTCAAATCATGTTAAGGAATTTCATGTTAAAAGGCTATCCAGCTAGCTTACGAGAGAATGTCATTGGTTTTACTCAGATTCTCTCTTATGCCTGAAATAATTAATGGAGGGGCCACAGAGGTCTTCAGAAAATTTCCAGAAGTGTTTTACATTACATAATACTCTGTTAAGATAACTTATTTCTTGTTTAATTTACAGACCAAGTGCAATGTTTCTAGAGACCATGTCCTTCTTTCCACTGGTATACTGGATGAAAGGAAACATTAAAAGGTATGTGTTACACAAACTCAGTTAAACACAAGTTGTACTAGGTTTTGTTGTAATTATGTCAAGTTTACCTGCTGGAATTGAGAGTGATAAGCCTTCCCTATGACTCTAAATCTAGGCCAGCCTGCACATTACACAGCACTGCATTCTGACCAGGCTCTATACTGCTGTTGGCACAATTTTTGTATTTGGATACTGAAATCCCTAAAACTTCAAATGGACTGTTCCAAATTAATATAAAGACTAATCCATTACACAAATTAAGCAGGTTTAGAGTGAACCATTATGTATTAAGGTGGTGTTTAGATCCAGGTGCTGAGTTGTTCTTGAGACTATGCACAAAGCAGTGCTTTTGATTCCCCTTCTTACTGTAAAGGTAAAGGTGTGCATTCATGGTCAAGTGGTTAAGTTCATTGTCTTCAAACCGCTTGCCTGCCACCGCTGTGGGTTCGAATCCTGACAGGGACATTGGATTCTTTTATGTGAGGAAGCTTTCCAACTAGCTTACCGAACATTAGTGGTTCTACTCAGGTGCCCGTTTGTGCCTAGAATAATGCCTGGTGTTTCTCAAAGCTCGGGAAAAATTGAAAATGTTTTGCATTATGTCTTGTTGTTTTGACATGTGGGTATAAAAAAAGGTGTCTAATTCTTGTAGTTATCATATAATTTAAATTTTTGTGTCATATGTTATGTTGATATTTTCAGTGTTGATGACTTACTGAAGGCGGGTATAAACAAGGCATCACATCTTGTGGTTGTGAACAAAGAGGAAGGTGATATAGAGTGTGAGGATACACTAGCTGATGCTGAAACTATTGTTGCTGTACAAACAATATTTAAGTTAGTAATATTTGTTACATTTATGTAAGGGATTGATGCATTGGAATTACTGCTTGCTGGGCAAATATTTCATACGGAAAACTGTTTACAAAGGTTTTTAATTTTTTTCTAACATTACAGTCCAAAATCTGTTCACAAAAAACCATGTACTAAATAAAAAAAAATATGTAATTTTTCACAAATGATTCATCTGTTTTAAGCAAGTTTGTTTTTCTGTTTTTTTTTTTATGCCAATTATTATTTGTTAAAATCATAGCTGTCAATCCACCTAGCTGGCTTTCAATTGTCACAGACAAATTAACCACTGGATTACTAATCTGATTTTCTCCCTTTTGAGCTAAGTGGGCGTATAAGAGGATTGTTTTAAAAGTGACAAGTGCTATTTGCAATACACATCAATGTCTTGGAGATGTTTTATTGTTATTCGGTATATTTTAAAGTGAGTTGGTCTGTAATAGAAAGTCTGAAATACTGTAAATAATTATGTTGATAGTATTTAGTACTATAAGGTGTAGCCTTCTATGGATGATTATGTATTAACATTATATAATTTATATGGATGTTGCTGATAAGTTAAGAGATCTATCTATACATGATCCAATATGACATATCTTTATATAACAGATAGTAAAATGTTCAAGAACAATGTATTATTATTATTCATATATTTGTCCATTCTAAACCTATATAAAATCCATCTACATTCATTTTTTAATTTTCAAGAAATATTTCTTAAGAATGTCTATGTAAAATTTTTCTATTGTTTTTATCAATATTTGAAATATTTATTGAAAATGTGCCCATTTTAGACCAATTCACTTGAATATGCCCGTACAAGAAATGATAATTTTATGATATACTATCTAACCATACAATACCAGATTGAAACAAAAAAGATTTTCAATATCTTTTTATTCCTTTATCATCATTAGGTTATTCCCAAATGCCAACATTATAACAGAATTAAATCAGGCGTCCAACATGAGGTTTATGCATTTCCGAGCCCACGATGAATACTCACAAAAAATATCGGGACTTGAAAGGGTATGTATTTTCATTTTACTTAAAAGGCTTTCAATGCAGCTGACTCCAACTGCCCGTTAAATAAATATGGATAGGAATGTAATGAAAATGTCTTTGTTAGAGTGTCTTAGTAAAGCTGTTTATTGGTGCTTGGTGGGCTTACAACTGGGTGCAAAGGCAGGTCTGGTACACACCTGCCCTATATACATTCAATCAGTGAAATAAAAATTCCAAGATCAAGATACGGTTATACAGTAGAACTTTTATGTGTTGAACAATGAGTAGTCAATTTTTTCATTGTCTTTAATTTTTTACATAGTTTGAAAATATTTTACCATCAGTAAGTCGAAACTCATATATATTTATATATATATATATATATATATATATATATATATTTCTACACCATTTTCAGCCGTGATTACGATAGCTGTATGACAGATTCTTCTGTTATATCCTAGTTTATGATGCTATATTCTGAATTTACTCTGTCAACATGCAGCAATTTTGTATTTTCTGTTATTTTCAGAAATTAAAGTCCAGTATGACGTCTAATTTGAGTCATATATTCCGTCTTCCATTTGCTGCTGGTCAGGTATTCAGTGCCAGTATGTTGGATACACTACTGTACCAGGTAACCTTTTGTGATAATTTCTGTCTAGGGAATTCTTTCATGTGAGAAAGCTATCCAGCTAGCTTACCGAAGATAACTGGTTATGCTCAGGTACTCACTTAAATGCCTGAAATAATGCACAAAGGTCAAATTCGTTTTCTCTCTTCTTCACATAAAGCCTTCAAATGAATGTATGGAATAATTACTAAAAATGCATATGTTTAGTATATGATACAAACTACCTGCATTGACATAAACAGTTGTCTTGAGTCTGCTGTGAATAGTGTCACGGTCAGTAAAGTTAAGATAAATATCTAGCTTACCAGATCACATGGTACTCATGGTGAACATTTAGTGTCATTAACTGTCTATCCGATTGTAATCCAGGGGTCACTCATTCGATTGCTGGACAAGGAGAAAATAAAATTTCGAACAAGAAGATGTTGTAAATGACAGGATAGCTCAGTCAGTAGAGCCACCCAGGTTCAAGCCCTTGTCAGGCTGCACAATTTTCTTATCTTATGGCACATGATGTAAAAGTTGCCCCATTTCAGAGTTGGCCCTGGTTCTTTTACATGCCAGTGTAGAGCACTGTTGCACAAAACCTGGAGTTTTAAGGTTTCATCAGAAAAATCATAAATATTGTTAGTGAAGGAGTAGAAGACTAAAACATGCAATCTGAATTACTAGTCCCTGCATTACCGTAAAACTATGGATCTTTTCCTTTGTTACATCCCTTGTGATAAATATAGGCCCATGTGAGGGTCACTGGATTTCTGAGTCTTGTGGCGGAAAATTAAAAAGTCTTGGCATCATCCATTTAGGCCAAGAGTTTGGAAGGAAGATTGTTCATTGGATTTTTACCATGTTTGTTTTAATCATGACCTTTGGTTGACCCCACCCCATCCACCCCAGGTGTCACTTAATTTTATATAGACTGATATAAGAAAAACGTTACAAAATCTCCTTCACTATTCTTGTAAGGTAAGATAATGAGTTATCTAAACTTGCGAATATATTTATACAAAGTCATAATATGAATGAAAGAAATAAAAAGTCTGACTTTTCTTTGGAAATGAAAAGTTTTATCCTGTGCAATGTTGTTTAAATTTCAATTAGAAATTGTTCTGTTAAAAGACCACTGAAACTGTTCAATCCCCTTTTTATAACTGACTGTAATAAAAACACACTGTATAGCAAGTTTCATTTTTTTTTATGTCTCTTTAGATTCTATTTTGATTGATTTAGAATATTTTTTGAATACACCACGATGATAATTGTGACTTTTCATCATTTGTTATACTGATTAGATATCATACACTTCAAACTTGTCCTCACCTTGTTATACATATTTTATACATTTGTTGATTACAACACACTGAAACAGTCCCTCCTTTAACTCTGTCAGCTTTTATAACCTCTCCTATCAGCTCACCATCACATGTAAACTGTAACACATTATTGGAGTCATATCCAGATACCAGCACACTACCTGCTTCAGTGACAACAATTTACCCCATTTAATTGTTCACCATTAAATGTTGAAACAACATGACCGTTGTTGTCCAGTACTGTCAGTCCATTATATAAGTCAGCAACATAAATCCTTGTACCATCCTTACTGACAGCTAAACTGTATATGTCACTGACCAGTTGTTGTCCCGATCTAACCATACTGAACTGTCTAAGCTGTATACATAATTATATACTATCTCAAGGACTGATATATATAAATGATTATTTGTGTATGCTAGACCATGGCAGTAAAAATCAGTGGTCAATGTTTGTGTAGTTTTCATTTGTCCTTCTGAAGAAATGAAAATAACTCTTTTATGAAAAACTAACATTACTGCTAATTGCGTTTTATTAATGCTACACACTTGATTTGGACAATCTCCAGGTAGATCGCAGTAGTCTATAAAAGTGTAGCTATATCTGCTGTAATGTCTAAGTGTGCTGCTGCTGTAGCATGCTATAATTATTGTACCATCTTGAGTATAGCAGGCAAAACTGTCAGATATCTTAGCTTTAAATTATTTATCTTTTATATAATGTGATTGTTTTCCTTTAATCTGAAGTAAACTGCTAGAATTATATTTAGGTTTCTCAGTAAGTGTAGCCAGGAAGTTCTTTTGTTCTAGCTGTGCAAGAATTCTTCCATCAGGTTGAAACTTTAAGTTGTCCAGTGTACTCTTGATTGTACCATCTGCTATACATTTGTTGGCAGCATTTGCAGCATCTTCCCCCATCTTTAAATAGACAAACACTTCAGCTGTATTTTTGTTAGGAAGTGTTAATTTATCACTGGCTGAGGTAACCCTGGTTTTAATTGCTTGTAGCTGTTTGAGACCATCTTCAATCTTATCTTCAAGACATTTGACTTTATCTTCTATCTCATCTATAGAACTTTTCTCCAACTTATCAAGTTGGTCATTTATTTCTTGTCGAAATTTTCTGTTATCAGCCAGTAACTGTGATTTTCTGGTAAGCAGCCTTTGTTTGTCTTGTTTGAATGGATCAGCTTGTTCTGCAAGGGTCTTAACTAATGCTTTTAGTTTTGTTTGAATGTCTGTTGTAGCTACTTGGTAAGTGTTGTTTTTGACAAAGTCTGGTATGTAGAATATGTCCTTACATGATCTGTAAAGAGATTTGATTTAATCATATTTTATATTGCTAATATATACATGTTGATTATACACAGAAACAACTAGTTTTTGAAATTATGAATAGCAAAAGGGTTGCGCCTAAGTTCTTACAACATGAGCGATCAGCCCTCCCCAAGAGGATTTAGACATTTAATGCAAAATGTTTACTTGTAGTATATTTATTACAGTCAGATGTGTAAGATATTTTGTGATGAACATAATTATAAAATTATAAAATAATTGTTATAATCAAGGTGCCTATACCATGCAACATTTTATAATCTGCGTGGGGCATAAAACCTATACAATCATCAGTCCAGTTTTTATTTTCTTCCATAACCTATTAAGTATTTTAGTTGTTTCGATTAGAACCCTCTGATTCTATTGGGAAACATATGAATAAAATGTTTTAGGGGAAAATCCTGTTCTTTTTTACAGAAAGTGAAACATGGTGTTTGAACAATCAGATATTCATGCATTTCACTTTATGAAAATAAGTTTTTTTTTTTCCAGGAAACATTCTTTGTATAGGGTCCTTAGTAGAAAGAGCAGGCACTATACTTTATTCTTTAAAAAGTAATAAAACATCAAAAAAAGTTACGACAAAAAATAAAAAATTGGCCATCTTTTGAATTGGTTATGTCATATGTGGTTGTCTGCCTATAAAAAATAATGAAAAATAAAAAAAAGTGGCAGGAAATAAAATATTAGGACCATCTTTTATATGGATTATTTGGTTGTCTACCCATGCAGATCACGATCACAGAAAAGGTCATGTGGTACAAGAATAAGCGAACAAAAACAAAACAAATTACATATGATATGAAATGTTACCTGTGCTTTATTGCAAACATGTAGAACAGCCAACATTATTGTGGTTCAGACAGTACATATCAGTGTGTTTATGACTGTGTCTGTCACATCTCTCTGCTGGTGCCCTCGGCAGACCTTTACTGGTTCCTGACTGGACTTGAGATTTGTCCAGCAACTTGTGACCAGCACATAAAGGCACCTGACTGTGTATTTTGACACAATTGATACAGAAATAATCGTGACAGTCTACACAGAATGTTTCATCTTCATTGTTTTTGCCCATATCAAAATGATAAGTTAATGACCAACTTTAGAAAAAAAAAATGCTGTGTTTTCAAGTTTTGTTCACTGGTAAACTTCATATTAGTGTGTAATCTCCCAATTTTACCGGGGATATCTTTGAAAGTGACCCAAATAACCTACCTGTGTCTTGAAGATTTTATGACATTTAAAAGGTGAGCAAATTTGTGCAATCATTGCCCTCTTGTTCATCCTAGGTTTTTTCTTTGTTTAAGCAGCATGGGTTGCACCCATCGATGATATGGATATTAAGATTTAGCCTTCTTATTATTTAGAATATCTCAATTGTCGCGTTTCATTTGTCATGTTTTTTCTAATTTACAGACCTTCGTGAAGGGGTACCTTATAACATTTGTGAGACTTCTGTTAGGCATAGATGCTGAGGAAAACTCTGGACATCTCTCTAGTGTAAGTATGGAACAATATTATTTATAACTTAATTTAACTTTTTGTTTACAACCTTGTTTTCTCAGTGAATTCAGTAATTATTTGTAAAATTTAAGAGAAAATAGATTATCATGAGGCTTGCTGTTGGCAATAGGTTCTACCCATGTGACCATTGCAGACCAAGATTGGCTGCTGTCTGCAAGTACTTATTAAATAATTTGAAGTTCTCCCTAGAAATGGTGAATCCAGACTGACAGATGAACAAGTCCAGTTGAGATATATACTGTTCTAGGGTTTGATATATGAGTTCAGATGTGAAGACAGTTACCATATTTCATGAGTGCATTATAAGTCAAAGGTATTTAAATGATAATTTTAGCAGTATAACATAATGAGGGGTGTTCATGGCCAAGTGGTTATGGTTGTTTACATGATATCACTTGCCCCTCAAGTGTTTATTCTAGAAATTCAAAGAGAGGGGTGAACTTTTCCCATCACTTTAAAAGAGAGAGGGAATTTCTGAAAGCAAGTTGTGCTCAAATAAAGTATGTTAATTGCATAAAATTTAACAAATGTTTATATCCAGCCAGGAATGGTCTTTTTCCAAGAATTTTTAAAGATAGCCAGATCCCCCAAGAACAATGCTTGATTGGCGATGGGCATACAAAAGAATTATATTATTCGTTATTTTGCTGACAAAAGCAAGGTATTTGTTTAAGAATTAAATAACAAGAATCATGTAAGAAACAAATGTAAAGAAAGAAAGTGTAGTGATCAGTTATATGAAATTTAAATCAGTTATATTATTATTTTTACAGATACGAATGAAGAGAACCACTCTGGCCAGGTATAGGACTTACGGAGAATTGTACCATGCATTGTGTTCAACAACTGGGGAAATCCCCATAGCTTTATATAGAACAGATAACCAGGCTACAACTAAACCTGTCAGCCCATATGCTACAGAAACTGTGGTAAGTCTAACCTAAGTCTACATCTAAATCAGTCAGCCAATATACTACAGAAACTGTGGTAACTATAACCAGTTTACGTCTGAATCAGTCAGCACATATCTAAAGCAGCAGCGCATACTCAACAAAAGTGACAGGTTTATCTTAACTCTTTAAAAGAAGTTGTGGTAATTCTGAGGCCATTCTGTTTGTTTTCAGTACTTTGACACTGAATATCTTGAGAGTACACTGAATATTTTGACAGAATATAAAGAGAAGTTCAGATATTACAGCAGGACAGAAAGATTGCTAACATTCAGGGTAATTCATTGTCTGGCTCTGGAAATGTTTAGGATAGAGATAAAAGTTAGATTAAACTAGGTTTTCAGTTTCCAATAATTTTCCAAAATAGTGTGTGAAAAAAAAAATTCGGAAAAGGATTTTGAACTATTGACTAATTAATGCATTTTTTGTGGCCCCTCTTATTTCTTATGTCTTTCTCTGCAGGCTCAACAAAATAACAACAAAATCGAGGGAGCCCCTTCTCCGAAGAAACTAAGAATGCATCAAGACCCACGTAAAGTGTCGAGTCAAATTAACATACAGAAAAACTGGAACAATCAGAACCCAGAAAGAGAAGATATCTCGGATCTGATCAAAAACCGTATGAAGAGCCTGGATCTATCTGTCAATGATTACTGTAAGTTACTGTGTATATTTTGAAAGTCATGAATATTTCAAATGTAAATTAGGTCATCCAAAAGAAAACTGATAGTTTTAGATTGTTAAATTTCATTAAGCACAAAACTGGGCAAGTTATTCTCCCATGTGCAACTCAAACATTTCATAAAGATACATTATGCCTTCTTTAAAAAAAGGCAAACATGAATTTTGTAATGTTTAAAATAATGGTTTTGAAGTATGTAAGATGTTTGTTATATGAAAAAATTAGCGATAAATGTGAACAGTTTTTTTTTCAAAGTAGCAAAATATAAGTACATGTAGTATTTTTACTTTCTTACAAAACACTAATACATTAAATCTGTATTTATGGCCAAAATGCAAAAGATGAAATAATTGGCCAATGTGTAACTCTTTGGATACTATAAAAGTACACAAAAATTAAAACAATTTCGATACAATAAAATGAAAGCATTTGTGAGGCATAATAGGTCTTTAAACAGTGTCATATCTTCAAATTGTCTTCCAGAAAATGGGTGAAATTATATATTGGGGCTAAGAGCATATTGAAGTGAATACAAATACTCAATTAATATTGCTATACTGAGTATACTCTGTTTATAAATTAGACATTAAAATGAATCATTTCTTAGATAAGTACATGTAATCCTGACAGTTTCTTTATTGACATTCATGTTTGTATATACATTAAGTAAATATTGATATAAATTCCAGACATTTTATAATCCTTATTCTGATTGTCACAGTTATTTCCCTTTTCACCAGTATTTATTTGCCTTCTACATTCAATTATGAGGTCTTATACAATAATCCTGGTATTTAAGCTATTCATAATAAAAGAAATATGAGAGACAGGGCAAAGTACTTGCAATTTTAGTGAGTAACTTTTGGATTCTGTCTTTTTAGTGTGTAAAATATGGATCCTGTCTTTTAGTGTGTAAAATATGGATCCTGTCTTTTAGTGTGTAAAATATGGATCCTGTCTTTTAGTGTGTAAAATATGGATCCTGTCTTTTAGTGTGTAAAATTTGGATCCTGTCTTTTAGTGTGTAAAATTTGGATCCTGTCTTTTAGTGTGTAAAATTTGGATCCTGTCTTTTAGTGTGTAAAATTTGGATCCTGTCTTTTAGTGTGTAAAATTTGGATCCTGTCTTTTAGTGTGTACAATTTGGATCCTGTCTTATAAGTGAGGCCATCAGTAAATACAGTAAGTTTTCACAATGGTCTGTCACATTTGTTGTTATGTATATTACAGGTGATATGGAGTACAAGAAGAATGACATTTCCTATGTAATACTCAACCCATCACCCAAACGAAAACTTCGAACTGGAGACTTGGTGTAAGTATACATTTGATATATTTATTAAAAACCTCTCAACTTTAGGAGTAAAAATGTCAGGCCTGTTCTTCCAGCAAAGAGTCTGGCCAGAATCCATTTCCATATACAGTAGAACTTCTATGAGTCAAACTTTGATTAGTCAATTTTTTTTTTGATGTGTCGAAGTAAATTGAAAGTCCCTGTTTTACCCCCTATATGTTCTTTATAAAAGCTTATACACGAGTCAAAAATTTTATGTGTCATATTTTTCAATGTGTTGAAGTTTTTTCATGGTCCGTATGGAATAATTTGAGTACAATTTATCATAAATAGGTCAATGTCCTTCAATTCTTGAGTCGAAGTCGGGATGTGTCGAAATTTTTACCCATGTCCCTCCAACTTTGACATACCTAAGGCCTACTGTAGCTGTTTGTTTTTCAATTTGTATTCTGATATTTTAGTCCTATATTGTTATGCATTATCCAGGCATTTATAATAAAGTGATGAGAATAGTTGTACACAATGACTCACTTAAATCTCTTGTTTACTTTCATATCTTTGTCTGTTTTCAGGTATGTATTACAACCAAGCTCCATGTTTGCCATTCCAACCAGACTGAATCGCTGGAAGCAGAGACCACGAGCCTGGACCCCTCCACCGGAGAGTACAATGTCCCGGTTCGGTTCTGACCCCGACCTTCAGAAAGCGGGCAACGGTGATTTGATGAGGGAACGGACTCATTCTTGTAGTAGTACAGATACGCCGAGTAAATCTAACAGATTTAAAGTCGACACTGCTATGTAAAATCATCCCTGCTCCAATAAAGATAGGGATATTTAACACTTGATAAAATCAAAGCTAAAGATATGCAGTTTAGAAAAGAACTAGTAATCTGTGTTCAACATTTGAAAGAAACAGTAGCAATTTTGCTGTTATTGTTTCCTTCGTGCTATGTTTTGTTTATTTGCATGAATGGAATTGATTCATATTACACACCTTTTACACTTTAGGCTAAAAGTCACTTTATCAGTATAGAGTCTGGGCAGACTTACAATTTAATTGTGTATGTAATGGCTTGACTCAATACTGGTGAATCAACTGCTAAAATGCAAAGATTTAAAGAAAAGTAATGTTAAAAAAAAACAGTATAAATTCAATGACTAATACATTACATTTGTGTTTAGTAAAACGTTCCAGTTTATTGATGATGGTGATTCTAGTTGTTTTCAAGGGATGTGGTAATTTTATAAATTGCCAGAAATAATTGTGCTAGTACATATTTACATAGATTAACTACTTATTACATTCACTACTTATATTTTACTTAAAACATTCACTTCTTGAAGGAGCTCCACTGAAGTCAAAAAGCCTAGAATCATGAGAGTTGAAATTATTGCATAGAGCAAGTGAAACACTCTAAAATGGAAATATGAGCCGTGTCATGACAAAACCAACATGATGGGTTTGCGACCAGCATGGATCCAGACCAGCCTGCGCATCCGCACAGTCTGATCAGGATCCATGCTGTTCGCTTAGAAACCCTACAACAAGTAGAGAAACTGATGGCGACCAGCATGGATCCTGATCAGACTGCGCAGATGCGCAGGCTGGTCTGGATCCAGGCTGGTCGCAAACACATTATGTTGGTTTTATCATGACATGGCTCATATTATGTTCAAGGGATAAGAAAGAAATATGCTCAGACTAAACATTGATTCAATAAAAGAATAAATGTGTGATCTTTATCCTGAAGAAAATTGTAATGTTTTTTTTTGTTTTGGGTCATTTTGCTCTATGAAAGTAATGATTCTGGAAAAACAGGATGAGAGAATGACCTGAAAGAGACCTACATCAAATGGTACACAAATCTGTAATAATATTTTCATTTCCATCAGTGGAGTCCCTTTAATGCAATCATTACTACTTTATGCATTTAGTCATTCGCTCACTACTTACTAGTTATACATTCCCATCTTATTAATGCATTCGCTACTTTATACATTTTCTACATATTGCTGTTTTACAAAGATACATAAAATAACATAGATTTATGATTTATATTTGTGTGAAAAATATGTCCAACATTATATAAGAGACTATTGAATTATATGTAAAAATTGCATTTGTTGAAAAATGAAAGGGACCATTGAATTATATGTTTTGCAAAATAATATACTGGACCATAAATTATATATGTGAAAATTCTATAAATAATTTTAAGAGACTATTGAATTATATGTGAAAAGTTTTTTGTTTTTTTTTTGTTTTTTTATAATACAAGGGACCATTTAAATGTCCCTTTGTATGTGAATGTTTTTTGTTTTTGCTTTTTTAAAAAAAAAAAAATAACAGACGATTGAATAATATGTAAATATTTATGTATTTGAATTAATATCAGCACCCATTGATTTATATGTGAATTTTTTTGTTATTGGATAAATATAAATTAATTACACAACAAAAGCAAATTTTGTTATCGAAATGATATACCTATGGATTCCATTGAATTATATGTAGAAATATGTTATTTAATATTCATTTATAAATGGGACCAATAGATTGTTTGTAAAATTGCATTTTTATTGCAATATAATATATAAAACCAATGTATATTTGCTGATTTTTTTTTTTAAGAAGGGACCAAACCTGATGTGTTCAAAGCTTTGTTTGCAACAACATTGAATTGCTGTTGTTAAATTATACTTAATATTTTTAGGTTTTAGTTTTTTGTCATATTTTGGTTTCATTTTGGTAAAACATATTAACAATTTATAGGGAATAACTTGTAGTAGAACTATTTTATTTTATGATGATGTGTAAAAGTTGAATTATATGGAAATTCTGGATTATGAAACTAAACTGTATGAGCCGTTAAGTTTTATGTGAAAATTGTTTTGCTCGTACATTATTATGTTTTTACAAACTGAAATTATAAATGACATAATCTGTTGATGCTTATTGTATGATGGTGGTATTTTAAAAACTGACTGTGATCATGGGATGTTTTTTTTATATACAATGTATCATAATATTATTGAAATACTCTCTTTTTTTTCTTGGGATGTTTAAAGGAACTCCACTGAGGTCCAAATAATAATAAAAACACAAAATTAAAAGATCTGTGAACACTTCAAACAGAAACATATGAAGAAGATGATGAAGACATTACACTGGTACTCAAAACTGAAAATCTATATTGAGTGTAATTCTGACCCCGATTAGAGGAAAAGCATTTACAGTAAACATTTTTTTTTCAGCCTTGTTTTGTCAAAATAAAAAATGCCTCAGTGTAGTACCTTTAATAAATATGTCAGTTAATTATGAATAAAAGATCATTACATAATATTATGTAAGCTGTTTACAATCAAAACCACATGGGAAAACTTCAAACCCAACCAGAAACAATAATGGATAAAATTAGTTTTTACTGAAAGTTGTGGTCTTGTCAGGAGTTTTATTAGAGGCCAAGTTTTTCTTCTATCATTCAATTGTCTTTTTTCCATATCAAAATGCCATTTTTTGATAATGGCTTCAGATTAGAATGTATTATAATTAGAATATTTTTACATTTTTCAGTTAGACTCACCATGGAATCTCAGTGTCTATCAGCTTAGATAATGTGTAGACATCCAAAAATCAACAAACACCTTGACTCACAAAAATACAAAACACATTCTGATCCCACAAAACAACACCATGATCCACAAACAAAAATTCTAATCCACAAAACAACACCTAGATCCACAAAACAACACCCTGATCCACAAAACAACATGCATATTGATCCACAAAACCACATCCTTATCCATCATACAACAAAGTACCTGTCCCACAATTCATACACATTCTTAATTGTTAACAGTTAAGTGTCTCTTTTGTCAAAATAGTGAGGTTGCAATCATTTTTCAAATAGCCATTGTTGAACTTGTATTTACTATCAGAACAAACTGTCTACCTCTGGAAGTTACATGTATTGTTCATTTAAGATTGTGCTTGTGTAAACAGTCACACCTGTATTAAAAGACCACCTCTAAAAAAGATAACCCTGGAAATAACCCTTGTTCACAGCTTTCACTGTATTTATTATTTTCTCACTGAATGTTACACTAAATGTTAAGTGTACTGCATGTGTATGCCGCATATACATGTAGGTACACAATTTTATGATTGGATACAAAGACTTTTCATGTGATTTTTAAAGTCTTCCGTGTTATAATACATTGTTTCTGTACAAGTATAGGTTTTGTAACATTATCTTTAGCCCTCACTTCACTTCTTCTCTTAAAAGGACTTGCCTATCTTTCAATCTGGACAAAAAAGAAACATCTTTTGTTTTCAAAATTAAAAAAAAAAAGAGCAAAAAACAAAAAGAAAATAATCCAATGGCATTGATGTACTGGCTGATCTTGATCTGTCCTGGATGAATGAGTAGAATTAGCCATCAGGAGGCTAAGGGTAAGATACTGGATTGTTTCCCCCTTTTGAAAAAATGCTAGCTTTGAGAGGGTCGGGCCATGGACTTGTAAATGGAAACAATATGTTAACTAACAATTTTTCAGACTGCACATATGTAGTCGTTAGTCTGACTCTATACTAATGGCATACACAAGTTATTTTTGCTTCTAGCAATCAAAGATTTGGTCATTGTTATAAAACAGAAGGTTTATGGTAAGGTTAGGATGCTTTGTAAATATTTGATATTTGTGTTATACACATTTTGTTGAATCTCACAAAAGTTTCTTGCCAAAATACTGAAGTTACTTTGTTGAATGTGATGAATTTATGTGCAGTTTTTTGTTTTTTTTGTTTTGTTTTTAATTTGAAGGTTTTGATGTTGTTTAGATGTACATTTATAAAGCTAGTGTTAGTTGTTTGTAAAAAAAGTAAATGAGAAATTCACACTTAGTGTGAAATTTTCTTGATTTTTTGTTGTTGTTTTTCTTTTAATTTTGTGTCTTTTACTTCTTTTTGTAAGAATTTTTTTTCTATTTCTATTTCACATAACGTCTAATAGGTTGATTATTATTTATCAAACTCAAAAATAAAATTGAAAACCAGACTGTTAATGGCTACATCTAATTGGTTTCTAGACTTAAGTTTAAAAATTGACCAATCATATTTGAGTAATTTACAGACTGGTTGTCATATGTTTTTACATTAAATCTTGATCTCGGTTGGAAAAATGCTCATTGGATGAAACTGATTATTAAATTTTGCACTTTCTAAATGGTGAATCCTGTGAATTCTGAAATATTTGTAAATTTACGATTACGATGGTGATATGTAAAACAAAGTGGTCACAGAATTATTGTAAATATGCTTTATACATTTTTGTAATGTTTTGCTTGTAGCATTTTGCTTGTGTTAAATGAGCTACAATTGATCATAATGTAGATTTAGATAATTCTCTTTATTTCATGTTTTATGTTAATTAAAACCATGATTGTGATCTTTTTAGAAATCAAAACATTATTGTGGAATTTTGTCACAGTTTAAAGGTCATATATAACAGAAAAAGAAAATATGTTTAGTTAGTTTAGCTATTTGTTTGTTTGTAGGGCAAATGTGTTATTTTGCAGGGAATATTTTCATATTTTACTTCAACAAGGCTTTTAGGTATAAATTCTATAAAATCAGACATTTTTGCAAAAAAACAAAATTAAGCAAAATTAATTTCATTGGCAAGGCTCAACAATTTTTTAAGCTTTGTTAAAATGATACTGAAATACTGAGCAAACATTTATTTTTATTTAAATCGTTGAATTGCAAAATTAACAAACTTTAATTCATTGCAAAAATGTCTGTTTTTTAAAGTAAAATAAAGAATACCTGGTATGGAATGTCCTCTGTGTTCACTTGAAATAAATGAATATCTTCTGTTAATAAACTTTGCTATGTCTTAATCAAAGTGGCACATGGTCATGATATAGAGTGTAAATTAAAATACAACCATTTCAAAAATCAAGCAGCATTGTGTTTATTAAAGCGCATTTTGTTCTATTTATGTTATAAATCATAGTGTAAGATTATGGAGTTTGTAGAGTGGCGTTTTGTTTATATAAACTACAGTTCTTTCTATTTTAAATTTTTTTCCTCGTTCAGCTTGACTATCACTTCATCACTTTACCACAAAAGTTCTACATGTATATTTCTTAAAACAATCAGAATCAGCAATCAAATAATTTATTCTTAATGTTTTCACAGTCATTCCATATTTTTACTCCTAAAAACATCACAAACAAGAAGTAAAATGATGACAGATAGTGAAATAATCCGGACACCAGAACCATATTTAGGCCTTTTTTCTATATATATCATTTTTTTTAAGTCTATTTTAAACCCTTTTCCAAATGTTATGTTGTTTGTAAATAGTAAATGTTTAATCAGATGGTTTATTTTATGATAATAAATGCACATGTTATCCACTATAATGATTTTTTTAAAGTAACTTGAGCCTGTCCCTCGAGTCTTCATATGGGAGTAGGGGGTGGTAGGTGCTATAATATGCTTTTTATTCTTTCAAAAGTATTGATGCTACATTAACTTTATATTGTGGTTATTTCATTTCTTGCCAGTTCCCGCGAGAACCACCTTCAAAGTTTGAACTTCATTAAATAACTTATTTAATTTTATACATATGTCATTTCTTTAAAGTAATGTTTTGTAATGAAATTTGTTTAATTGTTCCATGTTGTAGTACAGTTGAAGATTATTTTTTGTAGGAATGTGAGGTATATTTTAATCAAAATTTGTTATAATAGAACATGGGCAATAGATATAAAAAAAGCTTCATAATTTTTGTGTTTTTTTAGCTCACCTGAGCATGCTCAGGGTGAGCTTTTAGGATCGATGATTGTCCGTCAGGATGCTTATCTAGTTGATAGCTCGGATGAGTTCGAACATGGGTCATCTCGGATGAAAAACTAGGTCACAAGAGCTAAAAATAGAAAAACCTTGTTAACACTCTAGAGGTCACATTTTTGCCGCAATCATCATCAAACTTGGTCAGGATGTTTGTCTAGGTGATAGCTCGGATGAGTTCGAACATGGGTCATCTCGGATGAAAAAGTAGGTCACCCGAGCTAAAAATAGAAAAACCTTGTTAACACTCTAGCGGTCACATTTTTGCATCAATCATCATCAAACTTGGTCAGGATGCTTGTCTAGGTGATAGCTCGGATGAGTTTGAACATGGGTCATCTGGGATGAAAAACTAGGTCACTGGAGTTAAAAATAGAAAAAACCTTGTTAACACTCCAGCGGTCACATTTTTGCCTCGATCATCATCAAACTTTGTCAGGAAGCTTGTCTAGGTGATAGCTCGGATGAGTTCGAACATGGGTCATCTCGGATGAAAAACTAGGTCACTGGAGCTAAAAATAGAAAAACCTTGTTAACACTCTAGCGGTCACATTTTTGCATCTATCATCATCAAACTTGTTCAAGATGCTTGTCTAGGTGATAGCTTGGATGAGTTCGAACATGGGTAATCCTGGATGAAAAAATAGGTCACCTGAGCTAAAGATAGAAAAACCTTGTTAACACTCTAGCGGTCACATTTTTGCCTCAATCATCATCAAACTTGGTCAGGATGCTTGTCTAGGTGATAGCTCGGATGAGTTCGAACATAGGTCATCTCGGATGAAAAAGTAGGTCACCGGAGCTAAAAATAGACAAACTTTGTTAACACACTAGTGGTCACATTTTTGCCTCAATCATCATCAAACTTGGTCAGGATGCTTGTCTAGGTGATAGCTTTGATGAGTTTGAACATGGGTCATCCTGGATGAAAAACTAGGTCACCTGAGCTAAAAATAGAAAAACCTTGTTAACACTCCAGGGGTCACATTTTTGCCTCAATCATCATCAAACTTGGTCAGGATGCTTATCTAGTTGATAGCTCGGATGAGTTTGAACATGGGTCATCTCGGATGAAAAACTAGGTCATAAGAGCTAAAAATAGAAAAACCTTGTTAACACTCTAGCGGTCACAAATTATTTTGCCTCAATCATCATCAAACTTGGTCAGGATGTTTGTCTAGTTGATAGCTTGGATGAGTTCGAACATTGGTCATCTGGGATGAAAAACTAGGTCACAGGAGCTAAACATAGAAAAATCTTGTTAACACTCTAGTGGCTACTGTTTTGATCCAAATATCCTGTAAATTGGTCTGAAAGTTTGTTTTGATGATTTCTAAGTCAAGTTCGAACATGGGTCATCTTGGATGAAAACTAGGTCACACCGCCCAAATATGGAAAAACCTTGTTAACATTCTAGTGGTCACATTTTTGACTCAATTATCATCAAACTTGGTCAGGATGCTTGTCTAGGTAATTGCTCGGATGAGTTCAAAATCGCATGTGAAACTAGGTCACCGGAGCTAAAAATAGAAAAATCTTGTTAACACTCTAGTTGCTACTGTTTTGATCCAAGTATCCTGGAAATTGGTGTGAAAGTTTGTTTTGATGATTTCTAGGACAAGTTTGAATATGGGTCACCTGGGTAAAAAACTAGGTCACACTGCTCAAATATGGATAATCCTTGTTAACACTGTAGTGGTCACATTTTTGACTCACCTGTCATGAGACTTGGTCAGAATGCTTGTCTAGGTACTTGTTTGGATGAGTTTGATGGGTCAGGTGAGCGATCTAGGGCCATAATGGCCCTCTTGTTTTCACGTCTTATCTGGAGGTACAAGCAAAGTTTTACCACTATATCTTCAGGGTGTATAACCATTCACTATAAGGTTATCAAAGTGTTGTGTTACTTTCAATATATGTACACTGTTGTATCTGTTAAAAGTTTGTTTGTACCCCAGTATAAGCCTGGAAAAACCCAAATATTCTTAATTCTAAAGTAACTCAATTTCAAGTGTCTTCAGCTATGCATAAATCAATACACTGTACACTTGACATCATATTTTATGTTACTTATCTTTCAGCTCAAGCAGCTAGGTTATGGGTTAAAGCTTGTTCTGAATTGTGCTCTTTCAAAAGTTAATCCTTTGCCTTAATTTGATTGGTTTTCTTTTTAATGTATAATTACAACATTTCTTTGTAATATGTTGTTGTTGTTTTTCTTCTTCTGATTTTTAACTTGTGCACACATATTTTACCTGGACAGTGCTTGCTGTATTTTTGTTCCAAGAATTTGTTATATGAAAAAGTCTTTGTATAATAAAATTTCGTAAAAGACAAAATGTGTTCCATTGTTTTGGACATAATTTCATTTTCATCAAACTTTTTGATTGTATTAGTTTTATCACACCATACCTGTGTATAACATGTACTGTATGATTCCCGCCTCGATTACACCAGGTGGCACACAGACACTAGCGGGTCAGACTCCGTCCGCCGGTTTAATTCCTCCCACTGCTCATAGTTTGTCAGAACAAACTCACAATCCCCTAACCCCGGCTTGATCCCTCCTTAAATTGTCAACACTTTGATATAAATAGGTCCATGTCTGATCCCTCAAGTGTCAAAGAGGTGGCATTGTGATTACGTTGTAAGGTGAGAAAGTGGAGCTATAATTGCCATGACCCTCTCAGTAGCGTTTATGTCACCCTTGGTTAGACTTTTTCTTTAGGTCCATTTTCTCAGAAAGTATGAAAGCTATTAACTTCAAACTTGGCATACATATTTATCGTCAAAAACAGACACCATTTCAAAGGTGCAGATAATCCTTTAATTATTTTATGCAAAGTTATGCCCCTTTTTCAATTGGATGTTTTAGCTATAGTTAACCTTTTTGTTAAGATTCATTTTCAGTTATTCACTTCAAACTAAATATACATGTTCACAATCAAAATATGTCACCATTACAGAAAGGCAGGTAATCTTAAAATTCATTTTTGCAAATGTTATGCCCCTTTGAAAACAATATTTTATTTTAATTGGATTGCATTTCTAAAGGGCTGGTGAATATACTTTTTCATAGTTATGCCCCTTTTTGACTTTAGGTACATTTCTCAAAAAAAAATATCGGACATACTCACTTTAAACTTGGAATACTAGTTCACTGTCAATTATGACAGATAATTCTGAAAGTCATGTTACCCTTTTCCGTCTTGACAATTTTGCCTGTTTCTCAAAAACCTTTAAAGATGTTTACTTCAAACTTGAAATATTTATTGACTATTAAGAGCAGGTATTTTTGTTTGCTACGCATTTTTGCAGAATTGTGCCCCCATTTCCATTTTTTTTGTGTTTTTTGTTTTGGTTTTTGTGTCGCCTCTACGGAGTAGTGGCGACATATAGGGATCACTTCTCCGTCGTCTGTCTGTCTGTCCGTCTGTCCCTCCGTCCGTCACAAAACTTGTCCGGACTACTGCTCACAAACTACTGGTGCAATTTCATCCAAACTTTACAGGAATGATCAGTACCAAGTCTAGTTGTGCATATTGTCAGCATTTTCCGGTTCAATGATTTTTGTCAGAGTTATGGCCCTTTAATAATTTTTAATTTTAAAGTTTGTCCGGACTACTTCTCTTATACCACTAATGCAATTTCAATGAAACTTTACAGGATTGGTCTATAGCTGAAGTCCTTGCGCATATTGCACGGGTTTTCCGGTTGAATGATTTTTGGCCGAGTTATGGCCCTTTGACAAAAAGGTGTTTTTTTCTGTGTGTTGCCAGATACACAAAAGCTTGTCCGGACTACTCCTCATAAACTACTGGTGCAATTTCATCCAAACTTTACAGGAATGATCAGTACCAAGTTTAGTTGTGCATATTGTCAGCATTTTCCGGTTGAATGATTTTTGTCAGAGTTATGGCCCTTTAATAATTTTTATTTTTAAAGTTTGTCCGGACTACTTCTCTTATACCACTAATGCAATTTCAATGAAACTTTACAGGATTGATCTGTAGCTCAAGTCCTTGCGCATATTGCACGGGTTTTCCGGTTGAATGATTTTTGGCCGAGTTATGGCCCTTTGATTAAAAGGTCTTTTTTTCTGTGTGTTGCCAGATACGCAAAAGCTTGTCCGGACTACTCCTCATAAACTACTGGTGCAATTTTATCCAAACTTTTCAGGAATGATCAGTACCAAGTTTAGTTGTGCACTGTCCGTCTGTCTGTCTGTCTGTCTGTCACAAAATTTGTCCCAACATGAAATTGGCCATCATGAGGCGACACATGTGATTACGGATCGCTCTTGTTTTCATTATCCAGCACCGAGAAAAGTAGAGCGCATTGTCCACAGAAACAAGTCTTGTTTGGTCAAGTCTTTGTAAACAACTTTACCTTGCCTCATTTATTTATCACTGTATTTAAGTTAAAACCTTTACATAACATTTCTGTCGAACTTTTGAAAATATTTTGAACTTTGAAGGTCAAATAAATTCATTAATTCAATAGATTTGAGATCCTGGCACTATGTTTTTATGTCGTGTGTCTAGATGAATTTTAAAAAAAACTTGACCTACAAAGTTGGGCTCTAGGTAATTTCGAAAGGTTATGAGAAATTCTATGTTGTGGTTTAGTATGAAGGCTTTAGCTTAGAGAAAGAATGAATGAATGGGGACTGATTAACTTCGAGTTTGAATAATATTGATACATTGTAGTTGAAGTTGGTTTAAAGTATAATCAAATTTGCCTATAAAGGGTACATAATGGAACCGAAATGAAAATACCCTCCTCGCTAATGACGTCATTCATGTGGTCCTGTGTAGATTCTTGATTGTCAACAGACAGTGTTGTATCACAATATGCCCTGAAGTTACTTAACACAAACCAGTATATCTCAATAGAAAATGGTTTCAGATTTGTAGTCAAAGGGGTCACTTGTTCGATCCTCGGACATAGCAAACTTATTCTGTGACAATTATCTTGGACAGCGGGACCTATGATCAATTTTCACAAACTGCTGACTGCAAAATCATGTTGGATCAGTCGTCAGTTGCTTGTGGGTGTTAGGATTTTCAATCAGAGACATGACAAGCTGTATTAAATATGCCTTGCACCCATTAAAGGAGGGGACATTAATCCAAACGGAAAACCATTTTTTTAGAAGCTATCTCAAACTATATGCATTTTTCCAATCATTTAAAAAGGGGACAGTGTTGAAATTAGTACAGAAACAACATTTAATGATCTACATTATTTTTTCCCCAATCACATTGTGGTATTTTTCAAAGTCTAACTTTGGTTTATGTGTACTAACTAAATAAAATTTACTTAATCAGTCGTCTAACCAGTCTAACCAATTATTTTTGTTAATATGTATTATTAAACACTAATGGTGCCCTCACACATAAACCACGACCTTACTGCGACCTGAAAACTAGTAAAATAGCATTTTTCTTTCGAAAATCGTTGGTTTTCTTTCAAATATCTCTCGCAGACGGTCCGGGGGTCTGCAGTCTTGTGTTCAGTACATTTTCTCTATGTCCTCAATACGGTTCTTCTACGTCCATGGCGTTTCCACTGCGACTGTATTGCGTCCCCAAGGCGACCCCACGGCGATCATCGGCGACCCAGCTGCGACTGTGCTAAGTTCTCTGCGTCCTTACGGCGACTATTGCGTTTGTCCGGCGACTGTCCTGCGACTGTACGACGACCCTACTACGTTCTTGCTACGTCTATAAAAACAATACTTTTTACCAGTAGCAGTAGCGTCGCCAAAGGTTTCCGAGCAATTTCTTGTGATTTCATCGGTGACTCTACGGCGTCCTCAGTACGAGTGTACTACGTCTATTGCGTTCTTATTGCGTCCTTACTACGATGCTGCTGCGACTATGGCGACTCCACTGCGATCCCACGGCGACCTAACCAGGACTCAGCAAGAACGCAGAGTTTCTGCGACTGTTTTGTGCATGTTCAAAATAGTCGCCGACGGTCTGCGACCTTGTGCGTCCTTGGGTTCCTCGCTACGACCTCGCTGCGTCCCTGCTGCGTCCATGACGACTGTGCTGCGTCCTGGGTCGTAGCAAGGTCGCAGTAAGGACGCAGTAAGGTCGCGAGGTATGTGTGAGGGCAGTATAACCTATACATAGTTTGGTAAATAACCCTGGCTAGTGGGGCAGGAAATTAAGAAAATAGTGTAAATGGTGATACAAGCATGAAACTTTCAGGAAATCATCTTTAGACCGTGTATAGATTTAAAAAAATGAAGTGGGCCCAAAAATGCATCTGCTCATTCAAGCTGGCCGCCATTTTCAATATGGCCGCCATATAAATTGGACTTACATACTCGTAACAGCCCATTCAATGGCATTCATATCTTTTTGTACAGATCTGAAACTTACACCAAAGCATGTATAACGTTTCTCTTTTTCAAAAATTTAAAGCTTAAAAAATTCCGCTGTGTTATACCTCTATAGAATTCAATATGGCCGACGATTTTGTGCAAAAACTGTTTTATCAAATTCTTGAAGAAATTATGTTTATTTAATCAAAAAGTGTTTAAACATATTAGAAATAATCAAATTATATTTTAATCACACTGTAAGTAAACATTTTAAAGTTTTTGTCTACAAAATATCTTTAAAAATATCAAGAAAAAAAACCAATGTTTGCATAATAATTTTTCTAATTTGATTTTCTAAAATTTTAAAAAAAGCTACTTTATTTCTTAAACTGTATTTGACATTCAATTTACACCATGTGTTTATTGTAAAAAAATTAGAAAAACAAAAAATTTGTAGGCTTGATATTTTGTGAAAATTGGTGGGGTAAATGTGTCCAATAATTGTAAATGAAAAACAACAAAATTTCTTTAGGTAAAATCATTCTATTTCTTTGCTTTTTTACTTTTCTATGTATTGTCATGCAATTGTTCCCTCTTAAAAAGTACATTTCATTGGATGAAGGTATTTTTGTTTTCCTTCGGGTAAAGTTAGTGAGCTAAAATGTCAAAAAATTGCACACAAAAGAAAGTGTATACATTCACTTATTACATTTTTTTGCGAGATATTTCTTGTTTCAATATCTTTGATATTACATGTATTTCTTAATTGTTTATTGTAAACATATATAAGAAGACAATAAATCAACAAAACATGCTTATAATAGCAAACATGTACATGAATGTAAGGTAGTCTATTAACGCGTATTATTGACAATTCATAATTCATAATATTCACAATTTCATATTTAAAATAAACAAGAAATATCTTTTTAAAAAGATACTCGGCCGAAGTAAAACTGGTAATCATGCAAAATTATGTTATTTCTAAGTTTTCAATACCAAAAT